AGAAGTCTAAAATCACTAAACAAGATCTATTTTTTTTGCTTTTTTCTGCAGAATATGTCCGGCAATGCTGTTTTTCAAGCAACATTTTGAATGGCTCAATTACTTGTGTTGATTAGCTAACATTGGGGCGAGGGCAGGGTACACCCTGGACAAGTCGCCAGGGCACATAGAGACAGACAACCATTCACGCTCACATTCACAATGGTTCTTTTAGAGTGTGACCAGCAGATTAACATCATGAAACATGCAAAGACACGAGAGAACGTTTATTCTCACCCTACTTAGTCATTTAAGTTCCCTCCAAAAAATATGTCACTTCCTGAAAGTGTTCCCAATTTTTTTTTCTTTCTAACTAAAAGCATGAAAAATAATTTCACAAAAACTGCTTCTTCCTAATATATAAATATAGTCAATATTGTCTATAAATGAATTATTACAGTATATTTTGAGTAGTTCATACTTTAATGGCTTTAAGTTGTTTTAGAAGTTGATTAATTTGCACTGCGGCCATGTTAAAATTGAGCATATGTACCAAATAAAAGCTCAGTAAAGTATAAAAATGTATTTTAATGTGCAGTTTTCTGTTTATGTGATGAAGTAGAGCTTAAAGAAGATCTATAATTTAAGCCATTTGTATTACACATTTTAAGGAAAATGCGAGAAAGTAATACATAGGGACAAAAAAATGTTGCACAACTTGACAAGCTGCCCATAGGCTTGATAAAGAAACTGGAGGATTCTTCCGTTGAATTGATGTGGTTTTCTGCGAGTTAGCATCTAGTGGCCATGAGAATACGCTGCAGCCAACAGCCCTTCTGCACGAGCTCACCACTGAGCTGAGGTGGGTGCTGTGTTGCTGACTTTCTCCCGAGGCAGACATTTCCTGTCCCATATTTTATTCCATTCATATCCAGCAGAACTGTAGGTTTCCTATCATTGCACTGGAATCCCAGGATTTGAGACACATGCTGACATTAGATTTTAGCTTTCTTTAGCTACATCCATGCTAGTTTTTAAGCTAGTATATTTCACAACATCTTATATCATATTTATATATTTTCATATATGTATGATTGGTGTATCCGTTTTAATCTTCGAAACATTGTATTGGACATTGTCGTGTTTGAATTATATAATATGATATGGGCCATTTCTGGCACTGTCGTCAGGATGGCCGAGCGGTCTAAGGCGCTGCGTTCAGGTCGCAGTCTCCCCTGGAGGCGTGGGTTCGAATCCCACTTCTGACAGACTTTTTTTGTATTTTTGCTAAATAGGTTTACACACATTGATGGATATTCTTTTAATAGTACAGATAATTAAGGCAAGTGTTTGACCGGCTTATAGGAAGACATGGCAGTCGTGCACACACAGGTACACACACATATGGAGATGCACACACACTTTGACACTTAGCATTACAGCACACACTAACATATTGTTGCTTTTTGAGTGACGGTGGTGGTATTACACATATGGAGCATAAAGCAAAATTGTGAAAAACATGCAAATTTGCTTAGGGCTGCATATAATTTGATGTTTTTCTTTATCAATAAATCTGGCGATTATTTTCTATAGATAAATCGTTGGGTCTATAACATGATTCTCAAAGTCCAAGCTAATGTCTTTAGAAATCCATGTTTTGTAAGTCCAAAATCCAAAAGAAATTGAGTTAAATATGGTAAAACGGAGAAAAGTAGGAAATCTCCTTATTTGAGATACATATTTTTTTGCCATTTTTGCATGAATCGTTTTATTTAATAATTAATTAATTATGAAAATAGTTGGATGATGGATTGCGTTGATTGACTAATCTTTTAGTAATCGTTGAAGCTCTAAATCTGTTACATCTGTTTGGCTAAACCCCAAATATACAGATGTGTGCAGTTTAGAAATAATAAAACAAAACAGCAAATGTATAAATAAAACCAGACACTTTAAGTATTTCCAAGGAGTTCTCTTTAAGTATAATAGGATTTGTCCAGAGCTTGGGCCTGCTGCAGCAGGATAGTGTAAATGCTCTGTTGTGTTTAAAAGTTGATCAAGGCTGCTTCTCTTGGTTATAGTTACATTCCCAGCCTGTAATCCTCACTGTGACCTCACTGCAACCTTACTCTGTGACAGGTAGTAAAGGTTAAAAAGTAACAGGGGTAAAGCCTGTCTGGGCACCATGAGACTGGCACAGCTTCTTAATTGCATATTCAAATTTAGACTGAGTAAATTAATCTGGTCCTATTTACTGTATTGGTTTGTTTGAATGTATTCATCATTTCTTATTTAACATGCGGGGGCAGATGATCTATTCAGGGTGTAGCCAAACAACAGATTAATGGGCAGCTTTCATATTGGCAAGTGCACACTTAAGATAGGCACCTGCATTGAACATGGAAAAACACACAACATTTGGCATCAGATAAGCACACTTCTTCAAATCCTGGAACTGTATTATTAATATTTTATTATTATATTATTATCTTCTCTTTTTATGCTCTAACAATCAAAGTTACGAATATTTGTTTTTTGTATTTTTCTTTTATTTGGCCTAAATTAATCAAATTACATAACAATGTCAGTATTTGAGACCATCATGTACCTTTTAAGTGAGAGTATTAATATATTCAACCTTGAACTTGGGTTTAAGTCTTAGCCATTACCTGGGGCCATTCATCAAGGCTTCAACGTCCTGGGTGTGGAGCTTTAGTAGGTCTGTGACTAAAATTGCAGGAGTACTGCTGCACAGCAGGTTGCACACTAATTAGCCCTGATATTTTAGCTGCAGCCAGGAGGGGGGAGTGCTAAGCCTGAGAATCAGTGCTCACGTGCGAGCTTGACGGATGATGAGCTTCAGGGCGCCCTGCTGTGACTGTGATCCAAACTGCATTGCCATGCTGGGGCCAGACAGCTGACTGCAGACTGAAATGCTTGCTAATCATATTTAATTCAATCTGATGCAGACTACAGGTTCTGGGAAATTCTTACTTTGTGGCACTTTTTAGCTCTGACAGGCAGGTGTTGGGTGGAGAAGTTTGATTGATTGATCACAGAAGACTGAACGCATTCAGAATTCAAACATTTGAAAGATATATCTTCTCTCCTTGATGACTTCATTCAGCTGACACAAACTGATGCTGACCTCTTTTACTTGACTCGAAGGAGTGAGGGGTGGTGCCTTCTTTACACAGGAAAGCCCACAGAGAACAAAACCATGTTCTCGGCATTTACTTACATGACTCAGCAGAGGGGTCTTTCTGCTACTTTCTTCCCATGAGTCAGGACACAATTAATCTGCCTTGCTCGAGTCAACTCCACCCCACCATGACACATCAAGCTCCTTAAGACTGAAGACAGATGGCATGCCCCCACTGTGCGTGTGCTTGTGGAGGCTTTTCGGGAGTGGGTGCCCCTGTGATGAAGCACTTCTTGAAACTCCCGGCATTATAGGGAGGGATCAGCATGCCTTCTGTGAGCCTCTGATAAGGGTAACCCTTCATGTTTTCTGTGGCAGTTCCTTTGTCCTTGTAAAAAGCGAGCTGACCCCGAGTGATATTTAGATGAGGAAAGTACAGCCTCTAGAACAGCTTACAAATGCAGGTGAAACATGTATGATTACATGATCATGATTGCACTTCCAACCTTGTGTGCATTTCACAACAAGGTGTATGATGAGACTTTGCCAAACAGACAGCTATGATGATGTTAGCCGGGGGCAGTCACTCTCTCATTAGTATCACAGTGCCATTGCGCACCGTGGCATGAGGGTCTTCTTTTATCTCAACGACCTCATCATCATGGACAAGTCCAGATAATGGGTTATGTTCCACATGGTCCAATTGGTCTTGCACCTAACCGAGTTGGGGTTCACAATCAACTGGAAGAAGGTCCTCTAGCACACCACCGGGAGGAGTATCTAAGGGTTGTGCCCAACGCATGCAGGCCGAGGGCCACTCTGAAGAAACATAGACGGATGGCCCTCGAGCAGGCAGTTGGCAAACTCACGGCAGTCGGTAAATAAATTGCGCTTTCACAATACCAATGGTGCTAATTCAGAAAGAAAGTCTGTAGTTTTATAGAATAAACCGATATTTGACCTGGCCATAAAGAGAAACAGACTATATGCTTCCGAAACAAACAAAACAACGTGCGCAGCTTAAAGTAATCGGAAGAAAATATAATGAAGTAGTGGCCCTAGAAATTATTCATTGGGGTGGCAAGAAAGGGCCTCTGAAAATGTTGGGGTAGCACACAAAAACCAAAAAACATAACTGAATTTCCCGACTTTTATGCTGTTGTAGTTAATAGGCTAGTAACTATGTCAATATGATATTTAAGGAAGCTCATACTGATATACTTTGTTGTTTGACAGTTAAATTGATCTGATATTCATTGACAAATACTTGTACAGTTAACATTTTGTGGGTAGGTGAGGTTTTTTGTTGTCCTACGAAAAATAAGGAAGTTAAACAAAAATGGCAAAATGGCAAAATTTTCAGTTATAACTTAAGTAAAGTCAGTTTAATTTCTATAGCCCACAGTCACTTTTCACTAATTTACAATCGGCAAGACAAAAAATGTCTAAAGATATTGACATACAAACATATTTCTAGTTGTTATAATAACAATAATTTTCCACTCTAACAAGGCCACTAGTATATAAAAATATATTTTTATATTTTGCACATGTTCTCTCTTACTCTGATATAAACATATTTATTCTAACCAATAGTGTTCGATATGAAACCCAGCAGGAACTGCAACCATACCATGATGACTGAAGGAACTAAAGGTGGCAGATAAAAGAAGCAATGCCTAGTCATAGATTGTCACTGAGCCTTCAACTGCTTTCTAAAAGTGTGTTTAATTCCCTTTATGCAATGGTGAAGTCGAAGTCATGTGTCCAAAGCCTCAGCAGATTTCAGTCCAATCTCAGAGTGATTAGCAAGGCTTTTCATTCTATCCTTAGCTTCCCATGTAGGTGATTAGCAGGTAGGCCCGCTTCTGGACGGAGGCTTTTGAACTGGTTTCTCGCTTCTCTGCTTGCAATACCTCTGCTGTTTCTTTGGGAGTTAGCATCGTACATGCTGTGGCTTTGGGACTACTTATTTTCACTTTGGTTCTTTCATGTTTCTGGCTGATGTGAGTATACATACTTAGTCTATACTCTTGTACATTTTGGCTAGACTACATGATCTTGTGTACATTAAATGTTATTTGCATGGCAACAGAAATGTGCACTAATAACTAAAAGAACAACACTGGAAATGAAGTTCCGATAAGTTACGTTAAGTCATGTTGGGGAGAAGTTGTTTTGTGTGATTCGCACAAAGAAAGGATGCAATAATCCATGTTAAACTGGATGAACTCCTGTATGCAGGATGTGCCTTTTAATTTCCCTGTTTGAACTTTTTTAGTTGCCTCGGTTGGCAAACACAACACCTTAGGGATAAATAGCATTATTCTAGGGAACCAAGGCCACACATGTTTCCTGGTCATGGTGAATACAAAAAAAGAAAAGAAAAACACTTTTTGCATCTGTAATCCGCTGAGTAGCAGTTAGTTTAAAAAATAATTTTCGGCACGTTTTTTTAGTAACTACATTATGCAATCTGTAGTAGACAGTACTGCCTTACAGTAAGGTTAGTTATCTTTACATACAAGTGTAAAATGTCCCTGCACCTTTTCTATTATGATCACAAACCATCCTGTGGCACCTGTAATGTTGGCATCCTGCAAAAAGCATCTAAAAAGAACAATGTGTATTATTAGCCATGTGTTTTTATAATTTGGCTTGTTACTGAGCTCATGAAACATATGATGGACAATGTCAGCATCCAGTGTCTGAAATGAAATAGCATCTGGCTATGCGGGGCTCCTTTACTGTCTGACACAGATGATATGATTGATATTATAACTAGTTCGAAGAATGTATTAAAATATTAGAATTCAGTTAATTGACGACAAAATATTCTGCTCTGGCTGACGGGTGGTCTCAGATGCAGTATCTGAGACCACCCGTCAGTATCCATTTATAGACATTTATAAATGGCTACAGTAGGTTCAACCTCAAGACTTAAAGGCTGAGGTTGGCAACATGTATTTACAGCCATCAATTACTCTTCTATTCTCTGCCAAAATGTTCAACTGGAGTAAACACTTGCTGCTTCACTCGTCCACACCATTGCTAATACAAAAAAACAAGGACAACAACAGCCAAACCTGTTCTTTATACGTGTCAGTCAAGCTTAGCCTATTTTATAGCCACAGCATTTGACTCATTTCTATGTGCATTTCATAGTGGGCTTGCGTGCCTTTCCATCAGGCAACAATGAATTATCTTTACCTCCTAGTATTGTCACAGTAAAAAATGCATTGTGCTTAGTGCAGATATTGCTGCTTTTTATATGTAATCCTTGTCTTATTGATTGCAGGAAAAGCTGGCTGAGGATGAATTTTCTTCAGTGACAGTGACAATCACCGAGGTAATGTCCACTTACACTGCTAGCAGGCACTTAAGCTTGATATTTAAAGTGACTTGGAGGATATATTTGTGGCTGCATGCTCATTATCCCTGTCTTCATTTACTCTTTGATCTTCTTAGCAGTCTGTACATACAGTATGTAACAACCCTGTCGTGTGTATCCCCATTTCAAATTTAGTAGTAAATGAAGTCTATAAAAGCATGTTAGTCTGTGACCTTATGCCAACAAAATAATTGTCCACAAGTTTATTGTCTAAAAATACTTTCTCAAGCATTAAATCAAGTTGCCTTTGACTTAGCCCCTCTACAAGATAAACGTTGAATAATATTGTGCTGATTACACCTACAGCCTTAAAGGTGTCTGTAAGGATTACTTATGTCAGCCCTCAAACGCGCTTGGGTACTAATTTAGACTTAAGTACTGAGGAGCCTTACTGGGTTATCAGGAAAAGCTAACATGTGTGTGCAAGTTCACTGTCTGCACACAGGAGAAAGGGTCAAAGGATGTAGGAATTTTCCTTTTTCAGTCAGTTTTTTTTAACCTTTTTGTTTTAATTTGTCTTTCAGCCTGGGATGAGTGGGAGCCACACAGATGTGTGGTGCGACACCTTCCCCTGCGCAGGACAAACATGACCACCCCCTGACAACCTGCCCTCTTCTTCTGCTCACCTGAGGCACCACCCTTCAGTCAGAGCAGGGAGACTACCGACCAAAATGTCCTCCCACAAACGCAGCTTCCAGTGCTTCAATGCTATAGGTGGTGAAGGCTCACACAAGTCTTCTCTCCCCTTCAAGCATTGCACCAGCCGACTCCCCAGGATCCACCACCATGGCATGGTGGCCCACCACGAACCTCTTGAGGAATGCTGCTTTTGCTCTCATTATACCCAGGCCCAGGAGGCGATGCAAACTCAGGTCACACCTTTGTGTCACACTCATACCCCATGTCACCACCAGTATGTTCTCAGGGGACCAACCAGGCCTGAGGAGAACCCTGTGGCACATTCAGGCCACATCCTTCATCACAGGCACAATAAGACGGTGGTGTTGGTGAAGAACAGCGACCCCTCATCCAGGAAGACCATCGTCTTGCACCACAGGAGTCTACGAAGTTTTGGGCTTTTCTTAGAGGAAGTTTCGGAGCTCATGCATTACCATATCAGGAAGTTGTGCACTCTGGAGGGCCGCAAGGTAAGGTCATCAATCCCTGGAAATAGAAGGTTATAAAAAGATATGTTTAGTTTGTAAGTTATTTTTAACTTGAGATTCTCCCACATAACCTACAGAGTTTGGGAGTAGAGGGGTTGTATTAGATTTTATTTTATTATGTGATCAGGGAACTTACTTTTTCAAGAGGAAGTTTCTGTGTTTGACACTAAATGAATACTGTCCATTGTGTTTTACTGAATTGAAAAGGATGGCCGATTTAGAAATTAACCGTGAGTTGGGTTTGGCTCTAAAAAAGTACTCTCAGAAATATATTCGTTAAAAGTACTGTTACACATTGCTGCTATTGATGCCTGAGATTGAAAATCAGAGTGAAAGAGAGGCCTCTAGTGACCGGACTGATTCCCTACTAAATCCCAGCTGAGAGCTTTGTAAACTATTACAAACACACATTTAAATTGTATGGCAACATTCAATAAAAAAACAACACATCACTTAACTGCATTTTAATATCCTGGGTGTTTGTTTTTACAATAAACACTCCACATCATATAAAAAGTATACATATTTAATTATTGGCTTTGTATTTTTTTTCAAACACTCTTCCTCTGGACACGATATCAGACTACTGCATCTTTTGCCATGGAAATAAATAATGACATTGGGTAGTTTAAAACCTTCAAAAAGGTGCACCCTCTTTATTATATATTTATACTTACTATTCCATACTGTGCAAAATAATTTTTGACATAGGAAAGTTTACCTCGTGCCCTAAAATGTCACTGAACTGTATGGAAACATCCAACAATGGATGTTACCATCCAAATCCGCATGATATTCTGTTTTATTTGTATTTAACTGTTCAGTTTCTGGGACTGCATGGTGATGTAGAGGCTAGCAGCATCGCCTCACAGCAGGAGGGACCTGGGTTTGATCCCTTCTGTGAGGAGTTTACATGTGCTCCCCGTTTTAGCGAGGGTTCCCTCCGGGTTCTCCGGCTTCCTCCCACAGTCCAAAGACAAGGCAACCTAAAGCAGCTTAGGTTAAGTGATGACTCTAAATTGCAGAATGTGAGATGTGAATGTGAATGGAATACCGCTGTAACTAGATAATGTGCAATTTGTTGACATTTACACAACAGATATACTACAATATCAGTTTGAGTTGCTTTGGATTTAGTAGTTTGTTATAATCTAAGTCTAGTGGGATAAATATTTTGAGTGTGTGCATGAGAGAATGAAACGAGGATATTCCCTCACACATACATTCATCAGATTGTGCGTATCTCTCCAAACCTCATTAATCTTGGTCACATCAGAGCTATTTTTGAGAGAGGGAGGAAAAACAGGTCAATGTTGAAACTCCACTCCCCTACTTTCAAACCAGAGGTGTCTCAGAAATGTGTCTTCCACAGTGGCAATTAATTATCTTCACCTGGGCTTTGTGTGACCACGGATGAAGCCATTCATCTGCCTTCACCGATATTGGATTTGAAATTCGAAAATGCACTTTCATCAAAACTGACTGCTTACTAGCAAAATAAAATCAACAAAACTCTCAATATTATAGTCTGTGTTTCTCGAAATGACATAGCTGTCAGTAGTGAACAGAAGCCGTGGTATTTAATTAACAAAAAAACAAATAGGAATGCGGTATTTTATACAATCTATTTGCTACTTCACCACATGATAAATACAAATATACAAAATAAATTATACTGATTTAACATAGTATTATATTTGTTTCCTTGTTATTTTAAGATGTAGAATACAATGAAGAAGTCGTGCCTTTTTAACCTTGGTGAAAGTACATTTTTTAAACAAACCAGTGTGGTTTGAAAGTGTTTCATTCGTAATTTGTGACTAACAATTAGCAAAAAAAGGTGTAATCCTATAAGGGACAATATCTGTTTGTCAGTATGGAAACAAAATCCAGTAGCTACTTTTATTAGGCCTTTGCATGGAGATGCTCAGGAAAGCAGGTCAGTACACACTCACCCCCTAGATTAGCATTCAGCCATTCAGGATAATCACCTGCGAGACAAGAGACTCATATTTTAATTTACCCCACTGTCATGATGAAGATGATTAGCATCCTTGTTGTCAGCCATCCACTTTTATCGATCACCTTGCAATACCAGCGGGCATAAAGAGAGACTTAGTGTTTCTGTTGCCTTGTACATTTTAGGAGGAAGACGTCTCCTAAAGCAAAGTAAATCAAAGTAATGATGTTGCGTTCATAAATTGCAAAGCACAGACCCCTGTTCTGCTTGTCTATATAGTTTTGTCTACTATTTTCTCACACCCAGCAAGCTTGAAATATACTGTTGAGCATTACGTGTGGCTCTTACAAATGACAACGGAAGCTCACCATTGCAATAATGCCCCGTCATTGTGACGTTTCCCTGAGATCATCCTGGATTAGCATATTTATCTTGTCTTTGACTCACAGCTTGACTCACAGCCTTCTCTGCAAGGATTCAGAGCACTCAGTTGCACAAAAAAGGGGAAATGCATACACCCAATTATAACACTATCATCATAACTTCTTAAATGTTTCCCTCTAGATATTTTTCTACTTGCTACAGTCCTATATTTTTAGTAAAAGAACAGGCATTCACTAAAAGCGTGACAAACTAACATCAGTCTAACACATTGACGTTTAAAACATGGTTACTGGACACAAATATAAAACCCATACTCGATGTTATTTGAGTAATAGAAAAGTTAAAGGCAAAGTGGCCACAGAACCTTCAATTTTGGTCAAATAAGAGCTACATTAAAGGACAAGTTCTGCGGTTCAGTGGTAGACCATAGCACCAACACTGTAGTGTGCAACCCCCAATATCACCACAGTAAATATGCACTCAGTTGCAAAATTACAAATGTCCACCCAATGGCATATGTTATATGATATAAGAAACACAAGGCAACCATAAGCTGGTGGTCCCTGTTAATGCAGGAGGCCTCTTTACAGGTACAATAGTAGGTGCTAAGGTTCTAAAACTCTGCACTAGATACATCTCATTCTACTCTCTAAAGTGTTCTGCATTTTGTTTGCTGACAATGACCGGTAGCCAAAAGAAAAATAAACATTTATCTTTAGCCTGAAATCTACCTTGTGAATTTCCCCATCTACTTCAAATTATGGCTCGCCTACGGCATTTAATTCCAACTGTTTTAAATCATACAATCTCTCTGTTTATCAGTATTTTTTTATTTTTGCTATAAACTTCATTCGGTAAACAGGTTCACTCTCAACTCATACTTCCTGTTCTTCTGTTTCAGATTGACAATGTTCAGAGTCTTATGCAGTGCCCCAGTGTGCTTGTCTGCGTGGGACGTGAGCCTTCTCACCAGTCCATTGTGGAGAATTTTCACGAAACATCTGATGACAAACTTCCAAGTGTGAAGTCACGCTCCAGCGGCTGCAATGAAGAACATGGCGGTAGGAGAAATAGTTAATTGTCACAGATATCAGTTCTGAATTATGTTTTTAAAGGAATTACTAATTATGCTCTAAGCTGTGTTTCACTGGTGAAGTATCTGCAATACAGTACAATTGTTTTACACACATGAGCTATGTCATCTATTTGTTTTTGTGTTTTTTCTGTCTTGATTGTAAACCAAGGACTTCCAACTAAGAAAAGTGCCACCAATCAACAACCGGAAACTGACAGATCTACCACGCAGTCAGTGCCATCTGACAAGTCATTGCCAGATGGAACCGACTCTCCGGATAATGTGGAGTCCTGCCCGCATACTGGTGATGGAATGAGAGATGATGAGATAGAGAAACGGGTTCGTGTTAATAAAGATGGCAGTTTGTCCATGGAAATGAAAGTGCGCTTCCGGCTTCCAAATGACGAAACAATACATTGGTCGACAGAAGTAAGAAAGACATCAGGCGGGACCTGTGAGTTCCTGCAAAGACACAATAACCCCCGTTTTGCACAGGTCAGCTATTCAGAATCTGAAAACATCTCTGCTGGTGAGCAAGATGAGGCTTACATCACAAGGCGCTATCAAAGACACAGAGGAGAGGAGCCTCACTGTCCTCACTGCTGCAGTGACTGTCAGGATTACGACATCTGGAAAAATGTCCCAGGGACACAAGGGGCAACTCGCTGCATTCAAACTTCCAGCTCAAGTGCATCCTCACATACGATGGTCTCTAGAAAGACAGTGGTTGAAGGGCAAACTAGCGAAGAGCATATAGAACAAGTAGTGCAGAGAGAAACTTGTGTGGAGCAGACTGTTGAGGCAGCTGAAATTGTAGAGTACTGCACCATCAGAAGTGGTACTTGCTCCCCAAAGTGCATGGTGCAATCCTTCACACCGGACAATTGTGAGGTGTGTGTTGACAGTTCCCCAAATGATCAGGTCAATGTCAATGCTGCTCAAATACCAGAGCAAAAAGAACAAACAGAATCTGCTTCTAGTGCTTCCTCTGAGCTTTTCACATACAACGAGGAGGATTATGAGGAGGATATCCCACTGAGTGCTTCAAGAGCATCTTCTCAGACTACTAAACCTGAAAGGGAAGAGACCACTGGAAGTGCAGTGTTAGATACAGCATCATCAATGCAACATTCATCCCCGAGCTCTACAGATAGAACATCCAATGCTTCAGGGCACTCAAGCATGTCAAGAAAATCCACGAAATCCTACACTTGTAATTGCGGAGTGTCTAAAGATCTGGAAGATGACTTAAAACGACAAGTCAATGCCCAATCTGATGAGGAAGATGGGATACAAAGAGATCAACCAAGTGCCATGTCTGTCAAATCAAAAACCTCTGGCAATGAATCTGAAGAAATACAGAATACGGAATCTGAAGACTTAGAGGAGAAAAGATCTAAAAGTGCCATGTCAGTTCATTCAAATGCCTCTACAAAATGCGATGTTTTAGAAGTCACAGCTGAAGAAATGCAAGCACACGATGACAAAGAAACCCAAGAAAGACCATTAAGCAGCATGTCTAGAAAATCCTCTAAAACTGAAAAATCAATGAAGTCAGAAGTGGCAGCTGAACAACATGAATCAGAGGCGGATGTTGATGAAGAAAGAGCATTTAGTTCAATGTCATCAAAATCCAAAGCTTCTATTAAATCGAAAGGATCAAGAGTCTCCTCTCTTCTGGATGAAGAACAGGATGAGGAGGTAACTGAGCAAAGGATGTCAAAAAAGGCTAAAGCTAGTTTTGAGGAAGAGGAGGGAGCTGAAGAAGCTGGAGAAGATCAAGAGAGAGTGCCGAGTGTCATGTCAACCCAATCAAAAACATCTGAATCATCTGACGTTCCTAATAAAGAAAGTGATGACAATCATGAAAATGAAAATGATGGACAGCTAACTGAAGATGATGAAGCTGAAGCGAGAGCATCCAGCGCTTTGTCAGAAAAATCAGTCAAGTCCAAATCATCTGCAATATCCAGTAAGTCAAAAGAATTTAAAGATAGCTCTGAGGAAAGCAACAATAATGAGGAAATTGCAGAAAGAGCACCGAGTGCAATGTCAGCCAAATCTGCAAAGTCAAATGCCTCAGCAGTGTCTACAAAATCATATATGTCATCAAAATCAGCAAAATCAACACAGTCAAGTATTTCTGCCAAATCTAATATGTCAGAAAGAGCTCCAAGCATTTTGTCCAGTACATCTGCTAAATCTGCACAGTCAAATTCTTCAGCAATGTCTAAAAAATCAAGAGGTTCTGCAGTTCCGTCTGAAAACTGTGGTGCTGCTCCAGAAGAAAGTGTTGTTGAAGAGGAGACTGAAGGGAGATCAGAGACCGCAATGTCAGTACAGTCAGTTGAGTCAAGCATTTCTGTGAGATCAAACAGGTCAAAATGTTCTGCCCGTTTTCCAGCTGAAGAAAGTTCTGAGAGCCCTGATGAAGACAATGACAAAGAGCAAACTGAAGAAAGAGCAGCAAGCAGCACGTCAGTCAAATCAGTCCAGTCACACGTTTCTGAAATATCTATAAAGTCTGCAAAGAGAGCACCAAGTGCTTTGTCAGCTAGATCAGCAAAGTCACATGTTTCTACAAAATCAAAAGCTTCTGAGGTTCAGTCTGTCAAAACTGATGCCGTTACTGACGAAGAAGATGATAAAGAGAGAGCACAGAGTGCCATGTCAACAAAAACTGCAAAGTCAACTGTTTCTGCAGTATCAACTGAGTCAAAAGGACTGGATGGTCCAGCTGAGGAAAATATATCTGATCATGAGGAGCATGCAGAGAGAGCTCCAAGCCATATATCAGTCAGATCAGCTAAATCAGCAAAATCAGCAAAGTCAAATGTTTCTACAACATCAAGAAGATCCAAAGTTTCTGAAGTTCCTTTGAAAAATAGGTTTGACAATCCTGAGGATAGAGTCGTTGAAGGGGAGAGTGAAGGAAGAGCACTGAGCTCAATGTCAGCACAGTCTGTTCAATCAAGCATTTCTACAAGATCAAACAGGTCAAAATGTTCTGCTCGTGTTCCAGCTGAAGAAAGCTCTGAGAGCCCTGATGAAGAAAATGACAAAGAGCAAACTGAAGAAAGAGCAGCAAGCAGCATGTCAGTCAAATCAGTCCAGTCACACGTTTCTGAAATATCTATAAAGTCTGCAAAGAGAGCACCAAGTGCTTTGTCAGCTAGATCAACAAAGTCCCATGTTTCTACACAGTCTACAAAATCAAAAGCATCTGAGGTTCAGTCTGTCAGAACTGATGCCATTACTGATGATGAAGAAGATGATGAAGAGAGAGCACAGAGTGCCATGTCAACAAAAACTGCAAAGTCAACTATTTCTGCAATATCAACTGAGTCAAAAGAACTGGGTGGTCCAGCTGAGGAAAATATATCTGATCATGAGGAACATGCAGAGAGAGCTCCAAGCCATATATCAGTCAGATCAGCAAAATCAGCAAAGTCAAATGTTTCTACAACATCAAGAAGATCCAAAGTTTCTGAAGTTCCTTTGGAAAATGAGTTTGACAATCCTGAGGATAGAGTCGTTGAAGGGGAGAGTGAAGGAAGAGCACTGAGCTCAATGTCAGCACAGTCTGTTCAATCAAGCATTTCTCCAAGATCAAATAGGTCAAAATGTTCTGCTCGTGTTCCAGCTGAAGAAAGTTTTGAAGAGCAAACTGAAGAAAGAGCAGCAAGCAGCATGTCAGCCAAATCAGTCCAGTCACACGTTTCTGAAATATCTATAAAGTCTGCAAAGAGAGCACCAAGTGCTTTGTCCACTAGATCAGCAAAGTCACATGTTTCTACAAAATCTACAAAATCAAAAGCTTCTGAAGTTCAGTTTGTCAGAACTACTGACAGTCCTAATGAAGGAGATGATGAAGACGAAGCTTCAAAGAGAGCACAGAGTGTCATGTCAACGAAAACTGCACTATCAACTGAGTCAAAAGGACTGGATGGTCCAGCTGAGGAAAATATATTTGATCATGAGGAACATGCAGAGAGAGCTCCAAGCAATATATCAATCAGATCAGCAAAATCAGCAAAGTCAAATGTTTCAGCGGTATCTAAGAAATCAAGAGCTTCTGACATCCCTGCTGATGTGTCAGCTGAAGAAAGCTTTGCAAGCTCCTATGAAGAGAATGACAAAGAGCAAAATGAAGAAAGAGCAGCAAACTGCATTTCAGTCAGATCAGTTCAGTCTACTGTTTCTAAACGATCTATTAAGTCACATGCCTCTGGTGTTACTACTGATGATGAGGTCGAACACTTGAAAACTACAGAGAGAGCCCCTAGCGTCTTGTCAGCTAAATCAGCTAAATCACATGCCTCTGCAAAATCTACGAAATCCAATGCTTCTGAAGTTTGTTCTGTCAAAACTACTGGATTTTCTGATGAAGGGAATGGTGAAGAGGAAGCTCAAGAGAGAATGCAGAGTGCAATGTCAGCCAAGACCACACAGTCAACCATGTCTGTAAAATCAAGTAAGCCAAAAGTCTGTGAAGTTCCTTCAGAAGAAAACATGTCAAATGATGAAGAAACTTTACAAAGACCACCAAGCACCCTGTCAGCTAAATCAGCCAGTTCTGCCAAATCAACAAGGACAAATATCTCTAGGAGGTCAAAATCCTCAAATACTCAACAGGAAGACAATCACGGGGAGACTATGGAGCGAGCACCGAGCAGTATCTCCATTAAATCAGCAAAATCAAGAAATTCAAATGCTTCAGCAGTATCAAAGAAATCAAAAGCTGCTGAAGATGGTGCTGACATTGCTGATGACAGCACTGAAGAAGATACTGAGGCGAGAGCAATGAGCTCAATGTCTGCCAAATCAGGGAAGACAAATGTAACATCAACATCTACAAAATCAAAAGCTTCTCACGGTCTTCAAAATGTAAACAGTGAAGACGAAGGTGTAAATGAAGCTGAAAAGAGAGCAGAAAGTCTCATGTCAAATAAATCCATTCCTTTAATGACCACTGAAATTTCAGCTGAAGAAAGTTTGGCTGATTGTGAGGAAACTGAAGAGAGAACTCCAAGTCCCATGTCAATTAAATCATCAAAGTCAGATCTGTCCCTGAGGTCTAGGAAATCAAACGTTTCGCAACAGACAGCTGAGACAAATGCTGAAGAGGTAGATGTTTCGTCAGTGAAGTCAAATGTTTCTACGAGAACCACAAAGTCCTACATATCTACAATCAGTCATAATGACATGACTGAAGGGACTGAAGTAAGACCACGCAGTAAAATGTCAAGTAAATCAGCAAAGTCCAAAAAATCGAATAAATTGATAGCTTCTGAAGTTCCTACTATAGAGTGTTCGGATACTTCTCATGAAGGAAATGCTCAAGATAAATCTGAGAGAACTCCAAGTGCCATGTCAGCAAAGTCAAATACGTCAGTGAGATCAAGGAAATCAAAAGTATCTGATGTTCATGCTGATGAAGAAAATCATGAAAAGGAAGAGAGAACACTTAGCCCTGTGTCTTCAAAATCCACTTATTCTGAAATATTAGGCAGATCTAAAATCCCTGCTCTGACCGTTGAGGAAAGTGAAGACAGAGCATCTACAGCCGTGTCATCAAAGTCTAAGGTTTCAGCACGTTCAAATAAGTCAACGGCATCTGAGTTTCAAGAAAAGAAAAGTGAAATGCGGCCAAAAAGTACTTTATCTGTCAAGTCAAATCACACTGTGAAATCTCGAAAATCCAAAGCAACTGATATTTTAACAGCTGAATGTGAGGAAAATAAGGAGGAGTCTGTTCATGTTCCTGCTAAGAAGAAGACCAGTGTTTCTCCAATAACTGCAGGGAAAGATGTGGGTCCTGAAGACAAGAGTAAGCCCCCATCTAGTTTGCATGAGGAAGAGAAACAAGATACAGTTGATAAAAGGAGATGTAACTCTAAGACAAGCAAGTCAAATGCTGATGACTTTGAGCTGGTCCCATCTAGCCTTCCAAATGCATCTCCTATTGAGGTAGTGACTGATTGGCTGAATTCAATACCAGCAGACGGTGATTCGTATATGTATGAAATGGAGGAATTTAATGAAAACTGTGATGGACAAAACAATTGCCACCCAACAGAGGAAGTTAACAGAATGGACGATAATGAAAACAATAACTCTGCAGCTGCGAATACAGAAGACACAAATGAAGGAGTTATGATGAACAGTGTCCCGAATGATGACAGCCAAAAAACCCCAGAGGCACCAAATGCGAATAATATCTGTACTCAGAGAGATGATGCCTCAAAAATATTCAACGCCTCCGTACAGGTGATGAAAGTACTTTTAAATCCAAAGGTTGACAGATGTAACAGTTTGCCAGAAATTTCTCCTGTGTGTGGACGTAAACTAAGCACTTCAGCTAGAGGTCTTCTGGATTGCCTTGTGAAGTTGCAGTTAATAGACCATACTCCTGAAAATGCAAATGAAAAGAATGAACGATACCAAGAGCTAATGAAAATTCTTAAATCTCTTTGGCTTTGTGATACTCCAGAAAATGAACAGAAAATGTTAAAGAAGGATGATCACCATTCTGTGGACGATGAATTCAATCATAACTCATCTTCTGGTGTGGATGTCAACAGTGGCTCTACGGGCTCCGGGAACAGTAGTGATGGTGTGAATGTTAATGTGTCTCAACCATATACAAGAACAGATAAGATAGGGAAAGTACAAGAAGTCTGTGAAGATGAAGCAGAAGCAAAAGCTCAGTGGACACCTGAGCAAGATGTAGAAGGAATGCATGAGGGAAAACAAAAGGAAGATGATCCAGCATCAGATGAAACGATTAGAAGCAATGATAGTCCAAGAGAACTATCTGAAACACCACCATCCTCAAACAAGAGTTCAGGAAACGACAGCAAAAGGATTTCTCAAAATCCCGATCCTGTTTGGGTCTTAACCTTATTAACTAAAATAGAAAAGCAGTTCATGGCACACTATATTGATGCAATGAGAGAGTTCAAAGTCAGATGGGACTTGGATAATAATGAGCAGCTTGACCTGATGATAAGTGAGCTTAAAACTGAGGTTCAAAAAAGAATTCAAAAAAGTATAAACAGGGAACTGAGGAAAATTCAAGGTCAATCAGGCGTACCAAGACCCCCTAAAGAAGCTTCAACCACACAAACGGAAGGGATAAGACGGAGGCTGAAGAATATACTCAATCAGTCAATTGATCCCCAAGCGGAAAAAAGTGATGATTCAGCGACAGGCACATCTTACAGTGACCAGCGCAGCGAGAACGAAGATGAACATTGTCCATGTGAAACATGCATTGAGAAAAAAATGACATCTAGGCCACCACTTCCTGCAGAAGTTATGAATGCTGCACCTGTCACTATGGACTTTGACCTGAGGAGGATTCTGGTGATGAAGAATGGTGATCCTGGCAATAAACCTGCAATGACCTGTACATCTCACTCTGATAATGATACTGAAACAAAAACAGCAGAAACATTTGTAGAAAACATTATTGTCAGAGCTGTAAGAGAAGTGGAAGGAGATGAGGTACACCATGATACTAAAGATGAGTGTGCAGTTGCAACAGACGATTTGTGTCAAGATGCAGGTCAAGAAGATGAGTCTGAAAACAATGAAGGAGAAGAAGCAGTCAAAGAATTATCAAAGGAAGAAGCAACAACTGAGGATGAGACTGATGTAAAACGAGAGATTGCTGCAGACGAGTCGAAGGAAGAGACTGATAAAGCCACCACTGCTGAAGATAAAAATGCAGAAGAGGATGATGTGGCAACAACTGAAAATGAATCTGACAAAGATGAGGCTGTGGAAGCAGTTGATCATGATGAAGAGATTCCTGCCACAAGTGCAGATGAGTCTGAAGATGAGGACGATGCCACAACATATAAATTGTCAAAAGAAACAGCTGAAATAGAAACAACTGAAGATGAGCTTGTTGTAGAAAAGGAGACAGCTGTTACAGGTGAGGAAGAACTTCAGGAAGAGGCTGCTGAAGCCACCACAGCTGAAGATGAAAATGTAAGTGAACATGAGTCTGACAAAGATGAGGCTGTGGAAGAAGGGACAGTCGATGATGACGAGGAGATTGATGGGGATGAGAACGATGACGCAGCCACAGCTGATGAATTGTCAAAAGAACCGGCTGAAGAAGCAGAAACTGAAGATGAGATGGCAGCAGAAGAGACTGCCGTGGTAGCATCTGAAAATGAGTCTGACAATGAAGAAGCTGGGGAAGAAGACATTCTGGCCACCACTGCTGATGAGTCTGCAGATGAGAACAGTACCACGGCCACAGCTGATAATGAATCATCTAAGGAAACTGAAAAAGCAGAAATTGAAGGTGAGATTGAGAAGGAGGGTGCTGGCACAAGTGAAGATGAATCGCATGAAGAGGCTGCTGAAGCCACCGCGACTGAAGATGAAAATGCAGTAGATGTGGCAGACACAACTGCACATGAATCTGAACATGAAGAGGCTGTGGCAGCAGAGAAAACTGAAGACGTTAAAGAGACTGCTGACACCAGTGATGATGATTCTGCAGAGAGTTTAGATGCCACCACCAATGAAGATGAAACTGCAGAGGAGAATGATGCAACAGGTGATGAATTGTCAAAGGAACCTGCTGACGAACCAACGACTGAAGATGAGCTAGTTGTAGAAAAGGAGATTGCTGTTACGAGTGAGGATGAATTTAAGGAAGAAGCTGCTGAAGCCGCCACAGCTGAAGAAGAAAATGCAGAAGAGACCACTATGGCAACGCCAGGTGAACATGAATCTGACAAAGATAAGGCTGTGGAAGAAGGGGCAGTTGACTATGATGATGGTGATGATGAGGATATTGATACGAGTGCAGATGAGTCTGAAGATGAGAACGATGACACAACTGATGAATCGTCAAAAGAGCCAGCTGAAGAAGCAGAAACTGAAGATGAGATGGCTGTAGAGAAAGGGATCACAAGTGAAGATGAATCAAAGGAAGAGATTGCTGAAGATGAAATTACAGCAGAAGAGACTGCTGGGGAAGCCACAACTGAAAATGAATCTGACAATGAGGAAGATGTGGAAGAAGAGTCAAAGATAGAGCTTGCAGAGGATGAAAATACTGCAGAAGATTCTCATGTGGCAGTCACAACTGAAGATGAACCTGACGAGGATGAACCTGCCGCAAACGATGAAGATGAAAGTGCAGGCACTGATAAAACTGGAGATAAAAGTGCTGTAGAAAAATATTTTAATGTCACAAGTGAACATGGATCTGATGACGAAGAGGCTGTGGAAGCAGGGACAATTGAAGATGTGCAAGAAACTGTTGCTGAAGAAGGTTCTGCAGAAGGCACGGATGCCACCACAGATGATAATGAAACTACAGAGGAGCATGATTACACAATCAAAGCTGATGGATTGTCAAAAGAACCATCTGAAGATGAAGATGAGGTTGCAATGGAAAAAGAGGGTGCTACCACAGATGAGGGTGACACCAAGGAGGAGACTGCCACGGAAAAAGAAGATGTGGGTGAAGAGGAAATCAGTGAAGCTGATAATGAACCAAATGAAGAGGAGATGGAAGAAACCACAGAACTTGTGGAAAAGGATGATAATGAAGCTGAATCTGCAATAGAAGAAAGCTCCAAAGCTGTCACTGAAAATGAATCAGAGGAAGAGAGCGATAAATCAGCCATAGATGAAAATGAATCAGTAAATAACACAACAGATGCCAATGAGACTGCAGGAGAAGATGACAGTGTAGGAGAAGATGAAAATGCAGAAGAGGCTGAAGAGCCTAGAAATGAAAATGAGACTCTAAGTGAGGCAGAACATGCTGAAGTGGCATCAGTTGAAGAGCTCCATGACACAGTGTCAGATTTTGTTCAAGAAGAAGAAAGAGGTAAAGAGGACGACAATGACAATGACAACGAGGAACTAGACGAAGGTGAAACAACTGGAGACGAATCTGAAGAGGCAGGAAGTGATGGGGAGGAATGTGCTGAAAATGAAAGTGCTACAGAGTCTGGAGCTACATGTGAACGTGAAACAGCAGAAGAAGAATCGGGAGAGCTTGAAATGACAGGGAATGAGATTACTGAGAGTGACGGTGGAGAAGAATGTGGAGCAGAAGGTGCATCTGCAGAAGATAACAGACAGCAACTTACAGAAGGAGAAGAAGATAGTGACGTGACTGAAGACCATCAAGAAGATGCCATTACTGAGACAAATGATGAAACAGAAGGGCCCGATGATGTGGTGGAGCTAAGACCAGATGAGGATGCGGAGGAATTATCAGAAAACAGTGGCGAAAACATACCAGTGGAAGATGGAGATGAAGATAATAAGGAACAAGGAACAAATGTAACACTATGTGAATGCATTAACATCACCAATGGAAGCCATGATAATGATGAAGATGTCGGAGTCTCCGAAAAAGAGGAGGAGGAAACTGAGGCAGCCAATGAAGACTGGAAAGGAAACCAGGGAGATTCAGCTGATGGAGAAGATGAGGCAGAGGAAGATTCAGACGAACCGGAGGAAGAAAGTGATCGTGGAGAGCAAGATTTGGTCCCAAACAAAACGAATAATCAAGAGGCGGATACAGGAGCAGCTAAGAAAATGACATTAATCACACTTGATACCGTGCTCAAAGTGAATGCAGAATCTGAGGATGGCGCTTATGCTGATGTTGAGGATTCTGAGACTGAAATAAACAGCCAAGAAGACGCAAGAAGCCTCGAGTCAAAAACTTATATTTCATCATAAGTTGACTGTGACTCTGCAAAGGCTCAGGGGAAGTGATAGAGAGTGAGATGCAGGAGTAAAACTAGGAGTCTACAGTAGTACATAACAAGTAGACAGCAAATAATATACACGCACTGAGCAGTCTGAGGTCATTCTTGTTGTTTAAGTCCAGAGAAGACCTAACAAGAACTGGAAAGTGAAGAAAGCTAAATGATTGTTCTAGAATCTAGATTATTCTAATTTTATCTTCCCGTTTTTTTCTTGTTAAACAAGCACTAAAGAATAAAGCACTTTGTTCCAGCATATCTAATGCTGCGACTGAACACATGCACAACAAGTACTGATCATGCAGTAGTATGAAAAAGGAATCACTAAAACTTGAATGTATATATTACACTACATATGTAGAATGTTTGTATAGTTTTAATGCAAAACTAAATGGGTCTTAAGCACATATACTGTAGTTTTTCCTCAATTTTTGCTGCTAAACATTTATTTGCCGGATTAAGTAAGTCTCTGAATGTATTTCATCTAACCAAAAGTATTATTTAAAGATTTTTGATTCTAAAGTTAAGATTTAAAGTTATATATTTTTCTAGTTAATATTTTTGGAAAGCCAGAAAATGCTGATAATATTTATTTTGAATGTAATACTTACTATTGTGCAGACACAGTACTGTTCACGGCAGTATTTTGTTTGAGCAAAACTGGATGATGATTAACATCAGTGTAAGATCAGGTAAATGTGTTATAGCTTTAAATTGACTTCTTTAGCAAATGAACAGGTACGTCTGGAAAGTAGCAAATGTCATGGCAGGGTTTTATGCATCACGACAGGCCCTCCTATTGTTCTGTATTTTAGACAAGTCAACAGTGTTTATCAGTAAGAAAATATGCTATTATTTGTGTTACAGAAGTTATTACCTTGAATGTACTGTACTTATTGTCTCAGACATAAAAAAAAATACTTTAGTCATTTTTGTTCGTCGTTTTTATGACACAATTCAAAGTTTATATACAGAGTCACTTAGTACAACGTGTCAGTGTTTTAATATTTTGAAAGATCAGAATTAAAACCACATCAAAATGGTTGATGCACACTACCATTGATGATCAACAGTGTCATCCAGAAGGACTTTCTGCATCCTATATTACTGACAATCAGTAAAGAACTAACTTTGTGGGTACGGGTTCTTTTGGGTACTATAAGATACTATAAAACATAATATATATTTAACACAAGTATAATCAAATTCTGTGGAAAGGTATGGTGAATGAGTGTGTGAGGCTGTCTTCTGAGACTCCATTCACACTCCATCTGCTGTGAGCGCCATTAGACAGAGCTGATGGATGTGCCTCTGTCAGAGTTTCAATTAGCAGTCTCTTGTGGTCATGTGACATACATAATTGATGTCACTCTGATTGACTGCATACCACCACAGTCAGGGGCATGAAAAAAAAATATTTTTTTTGCCAGCCTTAATGACTACCAGCTACTAACGTGTCAACAATGCGAAATTGTTCCTCAATGAGGAAGTGTGACAGTAACAGTAATCCTGTGTTCTCTTCAATATTTATCATTACCTCTTTCATATATCAATGCTGCATTAATGTTTGACTTGATGAGATGAAACCAATCTTCAAATCTTTTGGAAAAGCAGAGTTTTTTTTTTTTTTGAGGAAGCACCTGCTTGCTGGCACAGAGCTATTTCCACGGTACACACTGGAAGAGTGAGGAACGTCATCCGGAGCACAATAATAAGGGGCTTTCCCGCAGCCATGTTTACCTCAGAGCAACTTGCCTCTGGAACAGCTGCACAGACTCGCTCCCAACTGCAGTACCGCAAACCCAACTGCAGATGTGTCTTTTAGAGAGTGACAGGTACTGGGGAACATTGAGTTTATGCTACATACAATATCAGGGCAATGGGTCATTTTACTGTACATATGGAAGTTAACAATTATAAGAACAACTCATAAAACAGTAACTAAATGTAGCGGATTATATGTACTAGAATCCCTTTAAATATGCAGTGTGCTTGATGTCTGCTGACTAACGAAGGAAAAGAATCAGGAAAAGTGAAGCTCTCCCAAAACTCATGAACATCCCAGAGGAGCAGCAGAAGTGCCTGGTGAATGCATAAGGCAGTTCAATTGTTCCGTGTTTATTGACAATCACTTTGTCTTTTTAAGGCAAATGCAGGAGCGAGACCTCCTCTCACTGCATGTGTGACAGAGGACAGAAATGGTTCCCACACAGACAGGAAGTCAAAGAGGGGCCTCTTGTGATGTAGAGGGGGATCAAAAATCGAAAGAAGTGTGTCTTTGTGTGTTGATGTGTGTGTGTGTGTGTGTGTGTGTGTGTGTGTGTGTGTGTGTGCACGTGTGAATAAATCAAAGCTTGATAAACACTGACTGAGCACTTACTGTTAATATTCTAGTAAATATATTTAATTTTATATCATGAATGTCCAGTTTGACCACACACTATCACACACATCTGCATCAGACGCATGCAGTGCACACTCACATTGATGACGGGAATTGAAACGCTCATTGGCAGCATTTATGCTTTTGGCCAGAACCGCGCGATAGTAAAGCAGACCAACGCTCCCTTTCTTTCCCACCGTTGTTCAGGTTATCCTGCGGGGCCACTTATGACCCTTCTGCAGGCAGGATGCAATGTCTGGGGACCCCAACAGGGCTGTACACAAGCATCCGCCAAGCCCTGGGAAGAAAACAAGGGCTGATGGAAAACCAGAAGAAGTTAGTAACCAGGACGCACTCAATAACACTTGCCATGCACCTGCAGCCTGTGTTTGTGTGTGTGTGTGTGTGTGTGTGTGTGTGTGTGTATGCGCAGTGAAGTGAGTTCCTTCGGAGAACTACAGCACAGCACAGTCCCCACACAACAGCACAGGTGGTCCAAACAAAAACCTGTGAAGTGTTGCCCAGAGAGTAATATCCCCACGTTGCGTGTTGTATAAAGCCCCCCCATAGGAAACAAACACTTCCGGTGCTGTAAGATTTATTGTTCCCCGCACTTATAGGTCACAACGTTTTCTGAATGATATCTTCCTCGAAAAGGCTCTTTGATTCCTCCTTAATAGTATTTAATAGTCATTTAGCATGCAAAGCAGAAACAAAAGGCTCATAATTACTGCTAGATAACCCAAGGACATATTGTTTTGTGTTTATTCTTTGCATCCCTGAAGAAGAGGGGTGAATTCCCTCTTCAGCGCATTGTGTGGTGAGAATAGGAAAGACCTGGTTAACAGTGCTGTATGGTGTGAAAACCCAAAGCATTGTTGTACTTTGATAGATTGACCGCACATCAGTTTGCGATTTCTTTCCCCCAATGTCACTGACTTTGCATCCGTATTCACATCCGCACACCTTCCTCTGCACCAGATACAGACACACAAGCATTACGCAACAGAAATCCCCAAAGTTCAACACTCTGTTAAATCATTCCTACATAGGAGGTCAATGATGAGGTTATCTATTCATAGAAATGGCATGCATGTAGGGAAAAGCTGGTGTCTTGAAATGGACCTACTTTAGTAGAGTCAGGGTTTAAAAGAAGACTATCTGCGCCCTCTAGGGTCAACATTGGGGAACATCAACAAGCAAACAAAGTATGGTAAACCTCAGCAGAATCAGTAGACTTTGAAGACATTTTACTCTTCTAATTTAGTGTTTGTAAATTGTTTATTGCTCATGTATTTAGTGTGTCTCATGTTAGATCATTCTCTGGTTACATGCACACTCTTCTTCATGCTTTCTGCCTCTGCTGCTGTTGAGTTCATGCACATACAAACCCATAACCTCACTAGCTCACAGAATTCACACCATAAACATTTGTCATTTATCAATAAATTGTATTTTCACATGCATTTGACTGACAGAGTAACTAACAGAGAATAGTAACAAGCAACACCTAAAGGTACAAAACAAATATATGTATTATAGCCTATTCATGATGTCTTCACCTTAAAATGTCTATCCTCTACCTGACAGTACATTAGGCAAACATGGTTAAATGACGGTTGTAGAGAGAGAAGGACACTTTCATTTAAAATGTGTGCAGATATTCTAACATTGTTCCTCAATTAGAGGGTTTCAATACCAGTTCACAACATCCATCTTGTGGCAAGAATGTGTACTGCTTTACAGAAGTACCGTACACATGTATTATTGATTGCTAAGAATTAAGAAATAACCAATGCAGTGGATTAAACCACTAGAGACATATTTCATGTGTCAATATGTAAATTTAAAAAAATATCAGTGTTATATATTACACTTTTTGATATGTAAACTTCCTTCTCTTCGTGATTTGACCTTGGTTGTGCTGCATTTGTGAGTCTGAAGACTGATGATGAATTGCATTCATCAACTTCATTCATATCTATTTACAGTAAACTCAATGTATTCCCCCCAGGGGAGGCCCTGGTCTTCACTGAGAGAGAGAAAGAGAGAGAGAGAGAGAGAGAAAGAAAAGAAAGTATAGAGAGAGAGAGCAAAAAGAGAGAGAGAGAGACTTACAGACAGAGTGAGAGTGACACACTGACATGCAGTGAGCTTTCAATCAGGAAATTGAAGACGTTTTGCATCTGGAGTACTTTTGAAGACACCAGCCAGGGGACAAGTTCAAGGTATTTATCTGCTTGTACGTTTATCTCACACAACAGAATGCTAACGATAGTGCAGGCAATCAACAATCGCATCAAAAAGTGTCGAATTTAGAATTAAAAACAGCGAATTAATCAACTGTTATAATGTTTTAAATGGAAGAAAATAAAAATACTTGAAAGGTTGCACACAAATAGAGTTTTACTGGTAGGCTATGAAGTCACATGATAATCATAATAGAACCGCTATCATTTGGGGACAAAAACATATCTTTAATCACAGAAGCAGTCATAAACTATATTGTGACAACATACACTAAATTTAGACTGAGCAAAATACAGTTCCTAGTGTAAAGCGTGCTGAAAGTATTCATATGGTAGGGGAATGTTGCAAAGGTCAGTGAATATAATGCAAATTTTCTTTTAACTTATCACATGAAAACAGACATGGGATGTATACTTAAGCTATGAAAGAACACTTAAAAAGTCTAGAAAGTTTGTGACGTCCACTTGTAAAATTACCGCCAAGTTACCGCCAAGTATTAATTACAGCTCAATGGATATTTTTAGGGGATAAAAGCTCTTTGATTGTTACCATGACAGTTAATTTCTGAAAGTAATGATATATTTAAAGTTATATTGTTACAGTGCGGACCACGCTGACATCAAAAGCCATTCAATGAACAGCAACATCAAGACAGATAATGTGTGACTACAAGTCCAAGCGTCCTACACAAACTGTAACTTTGATTTAAGCATTAATCCATTCAGGTTATTCAACTGAAAATGGCTTCAATTGGCTCTTACGACTATTCTTCTAACTGTTTGGTTCAAGTGAAGTATAACCTTTTTTTGATCATCATCAATTTTCTTCAAGTAGATTCAGAAAGAGCAGTTATAAGTGCACCATAAATGAAAAAACATGATGCTTTCACATTGACTCAACTAGTTCACAGTGAACTTCTGTTTGGGCCTGTCACCATTTCTCTATTTTGGACTGTGACACATGGCTGTGTCATAAACTATAAATGCAAATTATATCAGATGAGAACATGTTTTCCACTTCCTCCTATGAGAAGCGATTTATTGTGAATGCATTTGTGTAAAACTCAGCACAGGGCATGAACTCACACAGCGGGCCCGGCCGTGGGAGAAGAGGAGACGGAAAACAGTTCCAATAAGGCTCATCTGCTTTATCAGGTAAGAGCAGAGAACAGAACATGCTGAAACTTTATTTACTTACATTGAGTAAATATAGTTTAGTAGTATGCAGTGTAACTGAAGAAGATTGCCATCATAAATGCAGGATGGGCTGCGCTGGCAGTGGCCAGAAACGAGTAAACGATGACACGTTCTACAAAGGAAAACACAACTTTGAGGCCTCCAACTCGTCAAATCACATAGTAAGTAGACCATTGAAAGGAAATGTAGAAAGTATAGTAATTTACTGTGAGTTGACATGAATCTATATTAATTACCTTGATTTATTTGCTAGTGTTTTTTATTGACTCACTGCACATTTTGAATATTAAAAAAAATGTATATATTTTTCTGTTCTTCAGGCACGATGTGGAAACACCTATGTGGATAACGGTAATCACTCAACACAAAGCATACACCAACTTTTCTACCCAAAAATATCAGGCCTGCGTTTATGCAGTCAACTGAGCAGAGAAGACATTACTCGAGTCCGAGTACATTTAGAGATTGAAATCTCGGTTGTGTTTCCTCTGGTCTCTTCTGGGGGAAAGATGAGATTGTAAACTTTGTTTTCATGACATGCAATGTAAAAAACGATGTTGTACAGATACTTTCGCCCTATGCTTACACTATTAACTTATCTGTCAAAAGTAGCACCCAAAAAAAGAAGCAAATAATAGCTGAAATATGAAATAACTTTGCTTTACTTGTCTTTAGATGAAGTGTTTGTGGCACAACATGACTTCACAGCGACCAACAAGAGCGACCTACCTTTCAAAAAGGGAGACAAACTTAAGGTTTTGCAAGAGTAAGTGGCCTCGTCCTGTAGCCCCTAGAATGCAGTGTGTGTATCCAGCAGCAGTGAAACAGATCACTTAGTGCTTCTAACCTGAAGAAATGTAAATGATGTGCAACGTTTGTAGAAACGGAGAATGGTGGGTGGCGAAATCGTTGGCGACTGGACAGGAGGGCTTAATACCGTGTAATTATGTTACCAGAGCAGATACACTGGAGGTGGAAAAGTAAGAGTCAATTTCATACATAGCTATCAAAATCAACATTTTATAAAATGTTAAAGACATTTCTATAGATTTTTAGTTACATTAAGTGTGTTTTGTGGTTATCCCTTCTGCAGATGGTTTTTCAGGGACATGAGTAGAAGAGAGACTGAACGACTGCTTTTAGTGCCTGGAAATAAACCGGGTGCCTTCCTAGTTCGAGAGAGTGAGACCTGTAAAGGTGACTGTCATCAGTCTCTTTTTCTGTGACCACAAATCAGACAAATTGAAAAACACGGGAATATGTCCAATTTCAAAACAACCTGCAACTGTGCGACCTATTTGTTTCCCGCTTAGGTTCCTTCTCACTGTCAGTCAGAGATCATGAGACAGAACAAGGAGATGTGGTAAAACACTACAAGATCCGCTGTTTGGACAAAGGTGGATACTACATCTCTCACTCCAACTCCTTTGCATCCCTACAGGAACTGGTCAATTACTACACTCGTGAGTAAAAGACTTTGATCGAAGCCTGCATCGTTTAAAAAGAAGCAGATCTGCGTACGCATAGGTTTCAAAATGTTAGCTAATTAGCCACGATAAAACATACATCACGTGTTGATTTGCATTCAGGTTCGGTTCACTGCTGAGAATTACAAGATGTATGCGTTGACTTTGAGTTGAGGGGGGAAGTTAGACCCTTGTGATGTGTTGTGCATTTCCTGTGTGAGAGAAGTGATGCTCTTTCCACTCCTGTGACTAAACCACAAGATAAGAATGTCAAATCTCTAGATTGGCTGCCAATGCACGGCAATTCATGAGAAAGAAGTACACACATACAAGCTTTCTAGATTATTTAAGAGTCCATCAGTAACTCAATTTAGCAGCGAAGAAAGTAGAAAAAAATATTGTTTATTACATCCGCATGTTTCTTGTTTGGGTGCAGGTACGGCAGACGGTTTGTGCCAGCGGCTGTATGCTCCTTGTAAGGTTAAGGCACCCGAGCAGCCATGGGCACACGACGAATGGGAGATTCCCAGAGACACCCTGAAAATGGTGAAGAAGCTGGGGGCCGGGCAGTTTGGAGAAGTGTGGATGGGTGAGAGAAAGTTCATCTTGTCGTTGGCAACTTTTTAGAACCCACGACGGTAGGCAACAGTGAGTGAAGTGGCCTGTTTTCATTTCTACTGCAGGTTATTATAAGAATACCCAGAAGGTTGCTGTTAAGACCTTGAAGGAGGGAACGATGGAGCCAGAGGCCTTCCTGCAGGAGGCCAACCTGATGAAGCAGCTGCAGCATGAACGACTGGTGCGCCTCCACGCTGTGGTCACCATAGAGCCCATTCTTATTGTCACTGAGTTCATGGTCAATGGTGAGACAAAGAGTTTTTGATGATTAGGTCTCTTCAATGAAGGGTGATGAATTGTGCTACAAATATGTGATGATTGTGATGATGAGGATGAGGATCGTATAAGAAAAAGTAGAAGAATTCTCACATTAGAGAAGCTGGGACCAGAGAAAACATTTGTCATTTTGCTTGAAAAAAAAAAATGTAACTTGATAAAGTGGTGATAAAGTTATCCTTCTCCTTTTCTCATTTGCAGGATGTCTTCTGGACTTTCTGAAATCAGACGAAGGACAAAAGCTAAAGATAAACAAGCTGATAGACATGTCAGCGCAGGTGGGGAACTTGATTCTAATTGCACAATTTCAACAACATTATCACTTTGAATGTGCAGAATTGTATCTTGTATGTGGCCTTTTCATAACCCACACCGCTCAGTGATACAATGAAAGCGTTTTCAATGCTTTTTTAATTTCGTTTTTTGATTTTATAAATACAGGAACTGTGTTTGCTGCTGCTGTTGTTTAACAACATATTAGTATTTAATCCACATATTTTTTATTCTCTGACAAAAACAAAATTGTCATCCTTCTTGCTGAGCTCAAGGGCTATTTATACACACTATAGCTTTTCTTTTGAATGTGTTATAGTATGGTTCTTTGACACCAGCGTAAATACACATGGAAACTGTTAGCAGTAGCTGTGTGGTTTCTGTGGTGGAGCTTGAGCGTGTCTGGCTTGAAAGCCTCACGCTACGTCAATTATTAACATCCGGACAGGAAATCATGCTATTTTTCCATTTACAGTGAGCTCCCTCAGAACTCTGTTGCCCCTCCAAAAAAAAAGGTCTTTTGACTTCCTGAGAGTTGGCACATCCTGTTAAACCCTCTTTGCTGCCTTTAAAATACATGCAAACAACTATTCACACACACATAGGCACACATGCTGTTGCTGCACAACCTGTACTGATAAAAGGAAACTTTATTCTATGGGTTCAGTGTGCTGTACAACAGATATGTTTCAAATTGTATTATTCCTTTGGACAAATGAATGACCGACAGCTTCATTTCCTGACTTTGTATTTGATCTGATAATTCCTTTAAGAAGCTTTTTTTTTTTCCAATATTTCTCTCTTCCTCTCTATACGACAGGTAGCTGAAGGCATGGCGTACATCGAAAAGAAGAACTACATCCACCGAGACGTGCGTGCAGCCAATATTCTGGTCAGCGACAACCTGCACTGCAAGGTAGCAGACTTTGGCCTGGCCAGGATCACTGAGTCAGAATACACAGCTCAAGAAGGTGCAGTATGTGCAGTGTTTCCCCACTATAAATGCATCCAGTGCCGAAGCCAACAGTATTTATAGAGTTTTTGATTAAATTGTACATCCCTATCCCGGAACATGAAGGTATAAATTACATTAACAATAATTTGGCAGATGGTTTTGTCCAAAGGGACTTACAATAAGTGCACTCAAACTCAAAAGAAAATAGATTTAAGTGCTGAAAGGGCAACCCTCTCGAATGAAGAGTTTAAAAGCCTTTTCTTTTTGTTAAAGAAACAAGATGGAAGAGCTAGCATGTGGCATAGACGTGAAATACTGTAACGTTTTTCTATGTTTTTTCTAGACTGCCTAAAATAAGGCCCAACAAGCCCAAACACCAAACATGTGTAACTTTTTACTGTAGAATATTAACCCTCCCCAAGTTGCTAAAACAATTCACAGAATAAAAATATCGAAGACCGCAGTGTCCTCAATGGTGGCTGTGGTCCTGAATGCATCATTTGAGTACCATGCACATTATCTCTGCTATTATTCACATGCTCTGATTCTCATGCAAACATCTGTCCTATGCTAAAGTGCAGATACACAGCTGTGGACAATATGGATAAACTCTTCCATCATAGTATATGACATTTCATACCTTGATAGCAATGTACTGTATATTGTGATTACAGTATATATTTCAGAAATTTATTTGAGAAAGAATTTGTTTACATAATGATGTTGGGAATGTCTGTTTTTAATCCCTTGAATTCTGGCAATCATTGCCAGAAAAGCAGAGAGGTTAAAGGCATTTACACCTCTGAATAAATATTACAGTAATATCTCTATCTGTATTTAAATCTCTATTCTGTCATATTACACCACATTAAGAGGTATAAACACACATTCAGACACACACACGCACACACAAACACCCACACAAACCTATTCTCTACAGTTCAGTAAACAATTTCTTCTGCTTTTTTTTTTACCCTCTTTCTGGTAACTAGGTGCCAAATTTCCCATCAAATGGACGGCTCCAGAGGCCATCAATTTTGGCACATTCACCATTAAATCGGATGTGTGGTCCTTTGGCATCCTGCTCACAGAGATAGTCACCTATGGAAGAATACCCTACCCAGGTACGAGAAATGTTTGTTTTTTTACTTTGAAGAGAAAAATGTACTTAAGCTCAAATGACATTTTATTATATTGTTTAGAAATGCAAATGCTGCATTCTTACTTTGCAACTAAGGAAATTGCACAATATGATGACAAAAAAAATGATGATATTCTTATATGATATTCTAAATATTATTTTTCTTCATCAGGAATGACCAACCCAGAGGTGATCAGGTGCCTGGACAAGTCGTACAGGATGCCGTGTCCGGACGGCTGCCCCGAGGAACTCTATGACATCATGCACATGTGCTGGAGGGAGAGGCCCGAGGAGCGGCCGACTTTTGAATTTCTGCAGAACACTCTCAACGACTTCTTTATCGCCACGGAGGGACAATATGAGATGCAGCCGTGATTAAATAAAAGGTTTCCTGTTGATAATCAGAAGACAGCAAAATGTCCTCAACAGAGATGTGGGACTTGAATGGATAGCGGATGAGGACGAACCAAAAGTGATACAGTTTGGTTTGTTTAAACATTTAAAATGGACACGTATTTTAAGCCTTCCTTTTGAGTGAATGTAAAAGCTATTCATAGCTTCCTCTATCTAGAGCACCTAAGAATATTTGAAACATTTTAAAGTCAGAAAGGATTCCGTTCTGATTAGGACTGATGTACGATGGTACGGAATATGGAAATACAATTACTTGCATGATATAAAATGGCTTTTGGACCCGAGGAAGTCAAGTCGGCACAGGTAAAGTCACAGATGAAACATTTGATTGGTACACAAACAAGCAGCCTGAGATTACATGCACAATACTTTGCACTTTTTTAAATTCCTTCAGTCATGCAGCAGGTACATAAAAAAGAAGGAGGCTTTTTAATGAGAATTTATACTTGCATACATGTTCTTCAAATAAAAATATTTACTTTACTTAGAACTTTGGTTTGTTATTGTATTTCATGCCACCTGGTTTAATGAAAGTGCTTTAAAACATGTTCCACGTGTACTTTAAATCAAAGTTTTAGAGGTTACAATAAGTTTTTACTGAAATACTCTATCATGCACTTAAGTACGCTTTTTTAGCAGTGTCACATTATAAAGAAGACGGCACTCTGAGTGAGGCTTTGCATGCACAGGATGCCCCGTACAAACACAATAATCCCACTGAATAATCACTTCTGCAAACAAAACGAAAGTCTGGGATGTTCATTTTAGTTTAACTTGTGTTAAAAAAAATAGAGAATGGAGGAAAATGCAAGTGATGAGTGATAGCAACTCAAAGATATAACACCAACTTTACGACAGGTTTGTGTGAGAGACGAGTGCTGCCTCAAGGAAGCTTTGAAAAGCAAGAGACTCTAAATCTACAGTGGTTTAGATCGTCTATAGCTAAACCATCCGTTGGGGCCCCGGACAGTATCTTGAAGATAAGACATAAGTGGAATGGCCGCAGCAGCCAGGAGTAAAACCCTGCCACTTCCTGAGTGGACAGGAAACAGGAAGTGTGAGTCAGCATTCCTTAAATGCCACACAGCTAGAACACCCTCACATGCCACATTGGTTGAGGTCTTCACATGTTTGTGTGTTCAAACATCTGTTTGTTATTTGGTGGCTGAGAAAACAGACTTTTATTTTTATTTTAATATAATATAATATCTACTGCAAATAAAACGGAAAAAAAATATTCACCAACTCTCTATGAATCAAAAGTAACACACAAGATGCACCATCATCACGGTAAGTGTTACCTGCCATAAATCTAGAAATATTATTACGTATACTAATTGTCATTATGGAGTGACTTCATATTTATGCAACACTGGCCAGCAGCTTTCCTGTTGAATCATCAAAACAAGTCTGTTAACAGCGATTGCAAAGGCTTTTAAAAATGATACATAAACTTTGGAGAGTTTCCAACCGATACAACAATAGGAGAGCTCTAAATCAGCATCATCAATTCCAATAACTGCATGCAAGCATATTATAGCTGCCACTTTGGCAGTCTATTTAATATCAATATTCCTTATGAATGGAAGAAAAGACAGTTTAACGGCAGTTTGGGCTGTTTAGCACCGCAGTGTCTTGGATGTTTACCTTCATTAATTATGGACATTTACAATTCCTCATAGTTATCTGGTTACTTTTATTTTCTTAATAAATAAAACAAATATAAATGCGTACACATTAGTAAAAGAAAGTCTGACATTTGAAATGCAGAAAATGAAAGTCAGTACTATACTCCTGTCATGCTGCAGAGGTCAGTGTCACACAGTTTAACATGGTGTACTCTGCTGTGACCTGCAAAGAGACTGTTGTGCCACTAAAGACGTATGAAGGCAGCAGAATACTGGTCAGGTTCTGTCTACGACAGGAAACGAGGAGAGAGAGAGAGATGGAATGACATGCAACCAAGCCCCTCAGTCGGATGAAAACTATTTTCCTTAAATGCAGTGTTTTCATTGACTACTAAGGATGCAACATACAGCAGGGAAATGCATCCTAAAAACATACTGCACATCCTCAAACTAGCTGCAGTATATTTACACATTTCTTGGTCATAGCAATGGTCACACATTCCTCATAAATCATATTTTGGTACCATCAAACAGCGACCTGTATTCATTCTTTATTCAAGTCTTTATTTGTCTGTCTGGCTTTCTTTGCATGTAACACGTGTTTTTTGGCGCTGGAAGACGTTTAAGCCAAGCAAATGATTTGACAGACATGATTTCATTTAGTGAAGAATACTGTAGATGTTATGGGATGCAGCGACTATTTGTTCAGAGTTTTTAAAAAGCCACCCAACAGGCGGAGATCATTACAACATCTGTCTGTCAGCTGATGAACCGAGGGAACGGCCATTAATAATCACGTCTCACGCTGCCGTGGGATTGATAAGCAGCCTCACCTTGAAAGAAGCCATAATGTCAACACAAGATGACAAGACATGTGGGGTAAATGTTGGGAGGCCTAATCACCCTCTCCCCTCTTTCTGTTCATCACTGCTGCCTGAGAGGATTAATGACGGGAAATGGCGGCTCATGCACAGACTGATGAGTGATCCCTGCAGAAGGCAACATGTCATTAGCATCCACTGAGGGTAACCCGGCGCTGTCCTCTGGGATGAAGACGAGCACATCGCCACAGATGAAAAGAGATGTGCTTTCATCTTCCAATAATGTTGCTGTTTTCAATGGCGCTCAATTGGGATTATGCTCCTCATAAACATGTTTTCTCTCCTGGGCTTTGATGTCATTATATTAATGGAGTTCATCAATCAAGAGTGTCTACTCCAATAGATGCAATGGATCTTGAAATGATGACAGAAGATGTATTTGAAACAATTTGCAAAATGAGCATTTGTAACATAACAAAAAGAGATGGATTTTGAGAGGGGCACTCTTTACTTTGCTTATGTTGTACAGAGATATAGAGCAGGCTGATTAAATTCTCTCTTGTGGAATTTGTGGAAGCCATTCGTTGTAATGGAATTTACTTTAGTGAGGCCAAAACTAAAGCACACACTGAGTCATTTATGGAGGCCTGCTTACTTTTTGTCAGGCTGATTGGGAAAGATTTAGGAAACCATCTGCTCGATTGATATTTTCTCTGATATACGAGTCTATGTCAATTAATTTACTGTCGGAAGCCTTAAAGCCATGACGTAGCAGGAACCCCCCCCCTCAAATATATCTGGTAATTTACCACCATGATTGTACTCAATGATGAACCAAGGGCACCGGTAACTACAGGGGAATTTAATTATATGTGCACTGTTGTAGTAAAAAGTACTGAAGGATACTGCTGGTCTACACTATGTGGGCTAAAATGTACCCATTTAATAGTCCCTTGGACATTCCTGTCTCCACTGTTACACCTTTGAGGACAGAATGCTTTGATTCGTTTTAAGAGAATATGAAGTATCAGCCTAATAAATTAATTCTGGTATTCTCTCAGCTAAATCAATTCTATACAACCACATAAACCTTTCCCTGGACCAAACACTCAGCTACATTTCACACAGCTGCAGACTTGCATAACATCTGGTACCTTGTGTCATGAACATGAGTCCATAGTAAGCTCACTAACAAGACAGCTCATCATCCCTGATCAGTATGCAGCACTGCGCTCCTGCTCATTTCAAAGATCCCTGCTGTCACCATCTCCCTTCACCCGGCGGAACCAACAGTCAACGTACATATTCATGTATGTGGCTTTGACCTTGGCTGGCTGTCTCTACCGCTGTGCTTTCTTTTCTTTTTTTTACATTCAAAGCAAAATCAAGAAGAATATGTTGTAAAAGTGGAGTTGAGATGGAAATTTTCAATAATTTGCATTTTGTAAACTGTATTTCATTCTTCTTTAAAGCTGCTCACTACATCATTCTGAGCATATGTATTGCCTCCACATGGCTCTCAAAATGATGACGGCTGAGCCGGCGGCTATAGCAGCTAACATTGGTAACGTTGGGGAAATGGAGAGTGGGCGCGTCGGTAAGGACGGCATGATCAGCTGTAACTGTCCCGAGCTAGGCAGTGGGGCAGATCCAGTAACATGCACTAAAAGGCACGCCTGGTCAGCCCGGCTATGGAAACTAAGCACAGAGAAGCTCAGATTACACACACAGAGGGAGAGCGACCTCATTCTCTGGTCAGGTAGACATTACTCCACTATATATTTACATTGCAAATATTTGTGTGCTGCTATATTAATGTCCTGCATATCGTATGGAGAGCCTTCAAAGCATACACTATATGCCTTTATCCTGTCATGCCATTTTATTAATGGTGACCAATACTTAATTTCTTTATCCTCGAACCAGGAAACCTTTTGGAGTGGACTCAGTGATGGAGCAAGGTCAGCCTTCAATCAGAGGATCGGCGGTTTGATTCTTGGCTCCGCTAGTCCATGTTGATGTGTTCTTGGGCAAGACACTTAACCCCAAATTGCTCCTGCAGTGTATGAATGGGTATGAATAGAGTCCTGATGGGTGGCACCTTGCATGGTAGTCCCTGCCATCAGAGTATCAATGGGTGTGAATAGATGGATGATGACATGTAGTGTTGAAGTGCTTTGAGTGGTCGGAAGACGAGAGAAGTCCATTTGGCATTTACTATCCAGCATAATGATTCAAATCGTATTCTGTAAGTACCTAAGAGTCATCAGGAGAATGGACAAAATTAACTACAAACAGTCTAAGTCTGCAGTCTTATTAAATCCCTGCCATCTTTCTGCGTTGTCATTACTTATCAGGTTCTTTTACTGGGCACTGAACACCAAGCAATTAACATTGTGGGTCTCTCCTCCTGCCAGGTGAAGTTCATTTTGGTATATTTAACTTTTCCTCTTGTTAGAACGTTTTTTAAATGAAAGGATGACGAAGGAATTCTGAGAAAAATGGGACGTAAAGCCGGGCAGCAGGGATGAACGGGGTTCAAAACCCCAGAAGAGGTTTGAAGGTGACCCCTCTCTCTCCTTTAAAAAGGTCTCCTTCACGTTTACGTGCATAATTTATTCATTAAAGACAAGCTCTTTAAGACACCACCTGCATGAAATCATTGTCATGTTCCAGTGTTTGAGATTAATCTGACACTCCAGTAATGGGAAGGTGACACATTCCTTAATGTAAAAATATCCGTTTCAGTATTTCAAAACCTGCATGGTGTGTGTGTTTCCAGGAGTGTAACGGTATCACACAAATAATCAGTCACACGTGGTGCTCCCCCACAGAGAGGGAAAATCCACCAATCGTGGAGAATTGTGTGTTTTTGCACAGAGCCTGAATTCAATTAGCAGAACTCTGTGTTTTACCCAAAATACACACAACATGAAGGAATGCTCTCCCTTAACGCAGTAAAACAGCTGAGCAACAGGGGCTACTGGTGCAGTCAAGCAATTATGACGAAAACAAACAACTCAAACCCAAAATTACAATGAAGCAGAATTGAAGTGCAGGACGCGTCGAGTGCTGCTGTGCAAAACTAAAAAGCCATAAGCCTGAGTGCTGCTTGTGTAGATCGTTTTGGCTCCATTGTAAGCCATTCATTAAATTCCTTAAAGCACACTTTCCAGTGTGATTGAAGCTTTCGTTATACTTCCAAAATGCTCTCGTTTCCTTCATTGCTGCTATAAATCATTCCCAACGATCATCTACCACTTTGATGCATTATAAAATCATTTTACTTAAAATATTAAGAGGTACCTGCGTAAACCTCTAATTCCCTAATTCTATAGACCAGCAGCTCTTTCTTCTGACTGCCTTTTGATCACGGTGGACTCTGATGCAACTGCAGAGAAAGTTATCTTAAAGATTTATTTTGATCAAGAGAAATATGAAGCAGAAAGATGCTCCCTCCATTCCTGCTCCTGGTGTTCCTCAATGTGTCGATTCATGTGAAACAATGAATCCGTTGTCTGTTGCCTTTTTCCAGTGATATAGTAGATGCTCTTTAGTGATGGAGTTGTTTTTTGACTTGATAAAAGAGGTTGTATTCCAGCAAGGAAGTAACTTACGACACATTTACATCCTCTAATACTTTTTCCTGGATTCGCTTGAGCTAGTGATTAAAGTATTACAAGAAATGCTAGACTTTGCACACGTTGGCTCATGTTACTAAAGATTGTGTGGTTAGTGCTACATCACTCTGCGGTACGTTTGCTTAATGTGGGATCCGAGGATGAACATCTTACAGGACATAATAGAGGCCGCAAGAGGATTATTTTGGGGGGGGGGGGGTGAAGAATATAAATTCCCAGCATAGTACAGTCATCCAAGAACCCTCTCTCATCTGAAAATCAGCATAATTTACTTGAAAGAATTAAGTTACTGTAATTGTGTCTGCTCAACCTCACAGAGGACTGGTGAGCACATCGAAACCATCACCACAAAGAGAGGGAAACAATCTTTTCTTGACCACTAAAAGGTTTTGAGTGGTTAACGGGCAAAGAAAGGAGCAACACACTTCTGTCTTCTGCGTTACTTTGCTTCTTTTTATTACAGTCATAGAATCATATTTGCATGATGGGATTCACACATCTTCTGATTCCTAATTCTCCCACAAGTCTCCAACACATTTGATGACTTCTTTCTTGTGTCATTAATAAAGAGTGCAAGTAGCCTACATGTGCTGTCAGAGTCCCCTGCATAGACAAGCACTCTGATGTGAAATGCTTGTCCCATGAGGCAATGCTCTCAGCTTATCAACATGATTCATCTCCTTGATAGCATGATGTGTCTCAGGAAGGGGAGGTTGCGCAGTGTATGGTGGGTGAGAAGCACAGCGACCTGCTACAGGGGTTGTATACAGAACACAGGCGGAAAATGGGCTGAATATAAAACACTTCATGCTCATTACATTTCCCACCACAAGTTAAATGAAGTATAGAGCAATACTACAATACCACTGTTTAATGTTTAATGGTCTTTTCTGCAGCCATAGAAAACATTCTGTCTCGGGGAATGTCCCTCAAATGTCCCTCAAATGTCCCTGTCGTTCCACACAACATGAAAACACTCTCTTTATATCATCACATCACCTTGTTGGATACGTATTAGCTTCTGGTATCGCTAGTGGAATATTATAGCAGCTGTGTTCCGGTAGGCGTGTATATCCTGTCGCTGCTGCTGACACGTGGAACATTAATTATGGAATGCTGCGCGTGCACTTGAGGTGAAACGCAAAGTGTTAGAAACCTGCGGGTCAGACGGGCTACTTTACCGGGAAAGGACTGCAGGAATTACCAACCCCACGCGCGTGAATAACCGGCCGTAAAGACTGAGCTGCGGAGCACGCGTGGGCAGTCTAACAACTTAGCCGCTGTCCATGGTGCTGAATCGCCCCGCGGTGTCCCATCAGTCTGCGAGGGGACCGACGAGCCTGTGAGCGTCATTTTATCGACGACCTGTTCATACCTGCGAACGCTCCACGCACCCGGGGGATGATGGACGTCCACAGTTTCAGACACCACATTTAACTCGGACACGAGGACGAAGGACTTGTGGATTTAAACAAAAACAAAAAAAAACTAAATGAAGAATCCGCCGAGGCTCGACAAAATGTTTGTGAAGACATCATTTGTCACGTACTTTCACTGGTTATCTATTTACTGACCAGCTGCGAGCCCGATTCAGCCAGGAACCGTTCATTCATTCATCAACATGCTATAAAGATGAACTGCTGCGATTTAGTTCAAGCCGTTCAAGCGCCGGAGATCTGCGTTATAATCTAAAGAAGAGCAACGATACCGACCGAGACATGGCTCGCCTGCTTGTTTTGGTCAACTCCGTGGTCCTGTTGCTTTTTGGCAGCGACATGTTCTTGGTAGCAGCAAGTGAGTATATGAGCGTCTGTAGCCGAGGAGTCAAATCGATTATTGTTCACTTCGTAGCTTTGTAAAATGCGCCATTAGCGATGCTCAAAGTATTACAAAGCTGTTTGACAGTCGAACGAGGCTTTTGTTGGATCTGCACCTGGTGATGCACTTAATTCCACCTCTCATTCATAACCATTAAACAACCATTTATTTTTGCTCAGGTCTACTCCCCTACCTATCGCTCAGCCATTAACACCTGTATAAAATGGATCGCAATTATGTTGAGGTTCAGGATGAACTGTTACACCTTTACTTTATTTGAATCGTTTACAAAAAAACAAGACATTTAGATTCATATATATAACTGCTAGAATAACCTTGGCAGTTTGCCCTACTTATGCATCTGCTCAAAAAACAATGTGAGCAGGTTTACAGCAATAAAACTGCCATTCATTTCCAAAAATAGAGAATCTGCACTACAGTCACATCGAGCCTCTTCTCATTGTGTCTGCTCCCTTAAGAGGCACTTGCTCTCAATCTTGTTTGAATAAAGAAAGAAAATGTAATTCTTAAATCATGGCACTACTGAATACTGTGAAAATATATAAAAGCTCAAACCGAAATATATGGGTAATTTACATTTCTTTCATAATAATAATCGAAAAACCAGTTGCAGAACCAACACTGTCTTCAGTGAGATCAAACATGAGAGAGATTGATTCAACTGTAGGTGGTCTCATTTACAATATACTCCCATAATCATTTTTCATTCTTGCCATTGCGTGCTCAGCTTCAGTGTTAATGTGAATGAATCTTTCCTATTTCTGGAGCAGAAATGTCTGCTGCCTCTGCATGTGTTCATCAGAATCTCTGTCTTTTTATCAACCTGTCTACCTCTATCATCCCCCCCCCCCCCCCCCGCCTCTCAAGGGAACTGAGTCTTACATGCGATAGCGCCTTGTGTAAATCAGATTGGCACTTCACTGTATCTGTGGGTGTGTGCACTGTCTGCCTGATACAAATATCCAGAGCTCTTTTGACATGTTCTGCGCTGACATGTGAAACACAAAAGCATCTCTGATCTCAGCGGAGTTCTGCACGGGGGCTGGTCTAGAGCAGGAGAAGAGACTTAAAATAATAAACATGACACTCGTGAATATAAATGTGGCTGCTGCAGTGAGCTTCAAAGTAAATGAAAATAAATGTTGTATTCATTACTGTCAGCTTCACGCATGCTATGAGACTGTGGGATTCACAGTGACATTCAGATGCAGCTCTAAATTAATTGTAAGCTTCTTTGGTTCAGAGTGAGGTTGTCCATATAAATTTAAACGATGCAGGAAAAGGAACATTTTAGTTAAGTCTCTCTTTGCTAATTCAATAAGTGGAATTTGCTTAAATATTTTGAAACTGATACTAAAACGTAATGGTGGAGGATTTGTTCTCAAAGCGTTTCATTCATCCATTAAGAATGCTTTTCAACATGACATTTGCTCCAGATGATCATGTATTTAAGTCAGAATTTAGCTTACAATAAGTAGATGTCATTGAGAAAAATTCTAGTATGATGCGATCTGCCCAAGAAAAACAGCGGAAGCCCACACAAGTATTTTTTTCAAACCTGACAATAAATACTTGATTGTGGGTAATAATATTTACACTCAAGCTTTGCTTGAAAATAAATCCCAACAACCAGAGCTTCAGGCACACGTGAATTAGAATTTATTGGATTGATTTGGACGGCCAGGCTCATATCATTCTTCAAATTGGCAATCTGCTCTTCATAAACCTTGTGACACATTCTTGACAAATAGAAGTTCTGCATTGGAGCGGAATCCATCATAGTGAGGGCCAATGTTCGCTCATGTTGTCATTAATGTATCTGCTGTCAGATGGCAGACACTTTACACATAAACAAAACATACAGACCCCAGTGGGGGGTAGAACCAGTCAATATATCACTATAGCCAATAAAATGAATGGTACACACTCTTTATTAAACAACTTTACAGTTTTGTGAATAACTAATGTTAGCTTGCTGCTGAGAAGCCTTGAGGTTTGGCCAGTGATTACTTTCACCTTAAACTGGCACCATCTGGTCCCACTGCCGTCTCACAGCCTCCGAGTCAGTGAGAAAGAAGACAGAGTGTACCTAAAGCAGGGGTATTCAATCTAAATTAAACAAGGTCCATTTAGAGAGTATTTCCTCATGCAGTAATGTGCAACTTTCACTATGATTTGTTTCTATATATATTTAATTAGCCAACAGTTGTATATATGTAGTCAAAAACTAAATCAAACAAAGAAAGTTCAATTAAATAATATCTCAATAATATTTACTGTCAGCTTTCAAATTGAACTGAATGAATTATGAATAATACATCGTCTGGGTCCAGATCCGGACCACGGTCCGCCTATTAGTGAACTCCGACCTAAAGGGAGGGACAGTAAATGGGTCTGCTGTAGAGAGGCTCTAAAATGGAAGAAAAAGCGTCGGCCTTAGCCACGACTGGCTAGACAAGTCCTTTTATCTTTAACCATCTACATAGCTACTTCATACTGTTGTTGCTGTGCTAGATAGATAGATAGTTAAGTAGAGTAACATATTTAATCACAGATCACATTAAGTCACTGCTCCCACATGAATACAAATGTGAAAGAAAGGCAAGATCTCAGAAGGGAAAGGAGTTTGGAGATTAAACAAGAAGAAAATGGTCTTGAAGGGTATAATATGGGGGCAGACAGTGCTGCAGCTGTGATAAAACCAGCACGACATTGCTTAAGAGCTCTGCTACCAGGCGATTTGCAACACTTGGGCCTGCGAGCAGCTGTGCGACAACCTCCTACTGTGCAGAGGAGAACATTTAGACTTTCCACGACAGGGTTTCAAACGCATCCAGACGAAGACGTTTGAAGATTCACTGGGCAACACATCAAAATTCACGGCATCTGTTATGACTTATTGCCTTTATTTGTAAGATGTCAGTGAATATATTATCTCTCAAGGGACTAAGGCATTATACATTTTAGAAAATTATTAAATAACAAGCAGCCCTTCAAACTGTCAGCAGCTTAGAGGTAATTGAGAGTGAAATATGATCAATACTGCAGTCCACAACCTTGGTAAACCAGTCTTTTCCGTTTTTAAAAGTGTTTGAAGCAATATGAATTAAGCACCTTTGGGAGTTTATTGTGTAATCAATCATTTGGAACATTTAACATTTATTGCAGAATAATGAGCTGAGCTCTAATTTATGTCATTGGCATTGTTTGTCAATGAAGAAGTAGCAGCTTCTTCTGTTTGTCTGGAATATCTGCAGAGTCACGGAGCAAATTGTCACACTTCTAACAGTAAATGAGTTGTTTTGAGTACATGAAGTGTTTGGAAAATCATTCAAAAGAAAGAACTGGATTCAATCTGCAGAAGATTTCTGATACGAACTGGAGCCAGAATAGGTCGCTGGCTGTGCTTTCACACTTTCTAAAAGAAATGCATTGAATAACGATGTGTGCTTAGCATCCAGACACTGCATCTCTTCACAAATAGTGAAGAGATTTAAGGGGATTTAAACAGTCCCGAGGTGCAATTGTGTATTTGCTCATGAGTGCTATCATTTAATAACCCACATCAGATGCAAAAAGCAAACACAAAAAGTTAGATTTATTGCTTTGGGCATTGGCCATGCATTTCCACCTTAATGCTTTTCTTCAAGCGGAATCAAGCGGATGACATGTCATCTGCGTTTGATCAAAAGCTGCACAGGTTGTCTTATTGGGATAAATCAAAAATGTTATTGTTTGACCATGAAAAAAAACAATCTCTTCTTCTGTGAATATACAGTATAAACAACCAATAAACTAATCATGTGTATTGTAAATCAGGATATATTGAACAATTGTGCTTCGCCAGCAAACAGAGGTCAAAATTTGAGATACCTCGCTCTAACAAATCAAACTGGGCTCCTTTCCACGTGTCTCGTCAGCCATCCAGAGATTCACCAGCACTTTCACTGTGTCGCTATGTGCGCTCCGGTTAGATGCGGAGCAGCTAATGCGCTGGGCTTTGGCTATACGCTGCGATTCATCCTGGCAGTGCGCCCACATCCCAAGAGGGTCTTACCATTTGTTTGCACAGACACACAGGTGCCTCGACTGCTGTAACCTATTGCTGTTTGATCCCCGATTTTACATAACGCAGTGTGGAGTGGGGCTTACTCAGGACACGTGGCCAATAACAAACATTGAAGTACCCACAATGACACTTATCACTGCAGAAGGGAACATCAAACAAGCTAGAGGGGAACACGGGGAAGAACAACAATAAAAACATTTTCATTAGAACATCAAGTCACCCGTTTTCTGCTCTTTTCATTTCGGAGACCTTTTTTTTTTATTCATCATGTGCTTCTAAAATATAAAATGAATGAGTACGACAATGTTTTACAGTGCAAAAAGTCACCTCACCCAGTTGAAAATATACTTGTCCTGCTCAACTGCCTGCAATGGCATCATCTTCATATATGAAGGAGGCACTTCGGTATTAGTGATGATTCATGGCCGGCTCAAACTGAACCGTCACTTCCTCCATCACCAGTAAATGAGCTGCACATAATGCATCATGGTTACTGGCTGCTTTTCTTTTTGCCCATGCGTGGTTGTCTATAACCCCCATTACCTAAAGGACAACAGGCTTCAGGAGAGATTAATGTGTCCTGTTTTAGACTGTCACACCTGATTCTGAAGTGTGTGCACTGTGCGACACGTGCCGGCGGCAATCTAAACTTCACATTGTTTACCCGTCAAGTAGTTAGACTTTATCCAATAAACATCCTTCGTATTTTTGGTAAAGTGTGTATTGTATATGATGCAGTTGCAAAAGTAAAAAGCTTCAGTGTGGCTTTTAGAAACGCGATGCCGTCCATTGTGGGCATTTTGAAATGAGAATCTAATCCTGGTGTGTCAAAGCAAACATCTGATTTGTTGATTGCCTTTTTTAGATTTCAGCAAGTTAATGTCCCAGCATGTTGTGATGTAAATTCACTAATAATAGATTCAATTACATATTTTTTCTACATTTTCATGACACAAAATATGAAGTCATTGAGAAACAAGGACACAGGAGCCATTATTGTAAATATATGTATGACTCATTCCTATATCTCTCCAAAGATCAAGGACAATATATCCCTTGACTTCCCCTACCTCTTAACCTTCTGTACTTCTATCCTAACACATTAGTACCTGCTTCCATAGATAATATTCTCATTAAATTGACAAAATGAGACAGATGTGACCTCTTGATACCAGTGTTGCCACCAGCCAAGCCCTCTTCTCTCCCCGCTCTCTCTACTAGTTGGAACATTCTTTTCCTCTTGTCCTCCCTACCACAGGCTAAGCTATACTCTGGCCTTTAGCTCATCTCATTCACTCCCCTCCCACAAACCAATCTCTGAGCGTGTCATGAGCACCAGGAACTGAGCTTCATGCCTGTGTTTGACCATCGACCCCCCTCCACAAGGGCCGAGGCGGGGAGACTGACAGCCTCGTCTGGCCAGAGGGTCTTGAGATCTGCCTCAATGTCACCTTTTGCACCGAACACAGAGGCCATCATTGATTGTCTCCGAGATAAAAACAGACACGAAGTGCACGAAGAGTAAGAGAGAGGGAGAGATAAAAAAGCGAGACATTGGAGATAAGAGGAGAGGGATGTGAGAGGGACCTAGAGCTAGAAAACGGCAAATCATTTGAAATGGCTCCCAATTTCATCATTTCATCTTTCTTTCTCAAGTGCACTTTTCGGATTAAATATTGTGTACAGCACATGCCTTTGGCTGTCATCTCAAGATAACTGTGTTATGGGTTATTGCGCTCATGCTATATGCGTTGATGAAAGCAGTTACATATTGAATGGAAAACGGACAATCAACACTTCCATTGTAGTGAACTGCAAGAGAACGCTGTGACTAAAAATCTTACCCCTAATGAGCAGCTGTGATACTGTAGTTGCATCTCATTAGGAAAAGCATTTAAGTATGTTGTGTTCTCTGATGCCATCCCCATTGGAAACTATCAAATATCTGTCATTATTTTCCACATAACAGCTCAAGATATTTGCACACACTTGACCGTCTCAACATTGCTTCAGTTACTTTCTGCAACAACACATAAAGTCCATTACACCCACGCTAATGACTAATGCCCTGGGGATGGCCTCTAGGTCCCCATCTATCCGGCCAATCCCATCGCACCCGAGCGATTGCTTGGAGACTGAAGCTGTACTGTGCCCTCTATTAGATCTGCCACACTCTGTTTCTCACCCCCCTCCCCCCTTTTCTTCTCGGGCTTTTGTCCCACTTTGCAATCGAAGCTTCCACCGGCATCCAAATCATGATAGATGGCTGCAAAGCGACAGGGTGAAGAAAGGTAACCCTGTCAGAGGGAGGTGGACGTGAAATAGACAGTGTGGTTACTGTGTTGTCAGGTTGACAGACAAGGCTGTTAAGAGGGGATGAGGAAAAACATGAAAAATGTATACATATCTGATGTATATCAATTGTTACACATGGGATTTTTTACTAATTCTGCAGATTCACAATAACATGCAAGCATACAGTCTACCCTATGGTTTACTGTACCAAGATGACACAAGCAGCCTGGTTTCCCAGAGTGCTGCTGTATTTCCTGTTTCCTAATTCATCTACAAACATGACCACATAAGTTTTAAGACTTCACGTTTGATTAAAAAGAGACACCTGTGGTGAGCTCAGAGTGCCAACACAATGCTTGAGACTTTCTAGGTGCAGGTGTGGACACATTTGGCTTGGATAATTTAATATCTAGTGGGTGGATTAACAGACCCCTCTATTTCTGTTTCCGTTCCTTCAGATCGGCCGCCGGCTCCCGTCAATGTCTCCGTCATGCACCTGCGGGCCGACTCGGCGACCGTTTCCTGGGAGGTTCCAGAGGGAGATATAATAATTGGTTTCTCAATCTCGCAACAGGTAAGTCCTGAACTTCTAATGTAAATCTGGGAGACTGTGGATAGGTTAGCAGGATAACACTGTCTATGACACCCATGTATATAATGCATTATAATCGTCTTATAGCACTGTATAACACATTAAAAACATTAATAGCAATAATCCTAACACATGACTTATAAGGTCAAGTATCAAAATACTTCATAATTACTGTTTTTCTGGAAGGATCATTGTATATTATAATTCCCATTGTCTTTCCAATCTTTTTATAATGCATTATAATCACTGTTAGAATGCATTATAACTTACTCAAATGCTCAGTTTTCTTTATGTGTAGGGAAATAAACATCATTAAGAACACGCAAAACATTGTACAACATATTTTGACAGTTATAATACACAATGAGCCTTGCAAAAATAAAGTCAGTGAGTGACCAACAATTACGTTTTATGATACTTGACCTTATAAGATTGTTATAAAGCATTATGAATCTTTATGAGTGCCTATAACTAACTACACAGGGCTTTATGCAGATTAAAATGCATTAGAAGTGTATTTATAATGTATTATATACATGGGAATCATGGAAAGTGTTACAGAATAGTGCATTGGTTTTATTTTTGGCTCTTGCCATTTATGGTTTGGCATTGAGCCTTCGTCATGTCCTGTTGAAATTCTGTTGGCGCACCATGAAGCCAGTATGAGGATGTGCACCTGGAATCCATTTTCTACAGTGTCACACGGTTGTAATGGCCTGTGGAACACGGGTGTGAGTGACTGAAAACAGATTTTTCGGGCAATGAAAAGATAATATATTCACTGACTGAAGTTCATAGAGGCGGTTGTTATGTGCTCAGCAAACGCTTCGTATCGTTTGTCCAACATACTGAATACGTACTGCATGCACAAGTTCCCGGGTGATTAAAGATGTGTTATTGTCTGCATATTCTTAGGAACCCCTTAAAGCTTTGCTTAGCATGAAAAAGGGCAGACTAAATCTTGCCTTCAAGCCTGGAGTCAGAATAAAACAAATTGTCAAGAGAAAACAAGGGGTGTTTGAAGCGACTATGTGAAGCTGCCAAACGGCATTATTTTAGGCTAAAAAGATTTCAAAGGCTTAAAAAAGGTAAACCAATGAATGCTAATCCTGAATGGCTAAATGGCATATGGTGCCGGAATCGTGTTTATGCTTTATGCAACTCAAAACACCATGCAGCCATTTAACTCTGCTGCTATTAAGTCAGTGAGACTGATGGACCATTTAAAGACACCTCAACGGCCATTCGTCATGATATGCTGCTGAATCGGAACACGTTTGGTATGGCGGTGTAAGAATGACATTATTCAATGTCCACAGAGAATAAGTTGTTTTATCAGATCTTTCAGTCAAGCAGAGCCATAACACACAGACATCTGGCCCAAAGCCACTTCACGTGCAGATAGGAGAGATAGAGAGCTCACCAAGAGGAGAGCTCTGCATGCAAGCAGGAGGGGTAATTCTCACAGCTTTGGGTCTTTATTGCACCAATAACATTCTGAAAGGTCAAAGACAAAGTCTGAGACTCTGAAAGCTTGCGATTCAAGGCACTTGCAGTCTAAATTAATCAAAATATTGACTCCACAGTCAAGACTCCATATGGTGAGACAACATTGCCAACTGTTAATATGATAAAGTACCCAGCATGACATTCTCCAACACCTTGAATATTTTCTGGTTGGTCACCTCCGTCTCACATTATCACGGCCCAAAAATAGGTAGGCTACGTGATTGTTTTTAGCTTTTTTGTATGATGCTAAGATGAAATTTATACTCCGAAACTCTTTACAGAGGAGAGTGTCTTGCTTAGGGACACATTGTAGGTCAATCACCCCGTTGACCAATGTTTTGATTATTGTATCCCTCTTCCAAACCCCAGAGGCAGGAAGGACACACGCAGAGATTCATCCGGGAAGTCAACACTACCAGCCGCTCTTGTGTCCTTTGGGACCTGGAGGAGGAGACGGACTACATCATACAGGTCCAGTCAATTGGCCTCTATGGGGAAAGCCAAGCCAGCAAGAAGGTCCATTTTCGCACCCTCAAGAAGACAGACCTCTTCACCTCCAACAGCTCCAATCAAGGTAAGCTACCTATGGCAAAGCTCATTTGAAAAAATGGGTCTCTGTTTGTGTTCAAAACGTGTGATTTAAAGACTATTATAATTGATGATAAGTGTGTGTTTTGGTGTCTTTATGGGATTTGTAAATATTAACAAAATGGTAATTTAACTGTGAGATATTGTTTTAGTTTGTTAGCTGATTTTTCTTTTGTTTAGAGTCTCTCAATTCAACTAGATGCTATGAAGTTCGCCAAAATGCAGTAGGATAAGGTCACTGCAGCAATCTTTTCACAGTGTGGCATCTCGCTGTGTTATGTAAGGCAATGCTTTGCTTTTAATTCTACAGTGCATGGTACAGCCGTAGGCGTCTCTCTCCCCCCCGGGGCACAGACAGGAGCAGCCAATTACAGATGCATTCCTGCTGTTGCTCAGAAGCCTCTTCTGGCTGTTGAATGCTTTTAAGCACGCCGACATTGAAAATGAGGTACAGTAAAGGCTAGAGCAGGTAACCTGCAGCCTCCTCTCACAGCGTCCGTCTGAGGCGGCTCTATGCAGGTTTATCTTGTCCTACAAACCAATCCATTACTGTTAGAATCTTTAAGCATGGCTGCAGGCAAGCTCCTTTGAATTTGTGCAACTCTATATCACTCTGGGTGCCTAATCAGGATTTGGACACATTCTGAAGCACTTTGGATTTGTCTATGCTCATGGTCTTGAGGAAATATGACCAGCACCAAGAGAGAATAAGTTCAGTAGCTCTCAAATTCTCAAATTCTTTTTGCTTTGTATTGTAAGCAGTTGGGAAGAGTCTACATTTCAGAAAAAGACCATTTGCAAATCTTCTCTGTGTCAGCCATGATTATGGGATGAGCCAAATACATCAGCTCTTACAATAATGGCAGCTTACATTGGTCTAGAAACCGGTCTGATACTTCAAATTAATTTTTTTTATAAATCATATGGTGTGGTGAAGTTTATGATTATAAGAAGTGCAGATGCAAGTGAATCATTTGACGTTTCCCTGCAGTTGACTCTGGTTTGGTGTTATTTGTTAAGCTTGCTGTAACGGGTTGTATATGGACCCAAATGCAACACACAGGATTCCAGAGAGCTTTGGCTTTTATTACTAACTTCAAATATAGCAGGCAGAGTTGAAACAGGGTCAGGATCAGAAGGCTGGTGGGTTTACCGGGAGTCAGGCAAGGCGGGTAGAACAGGGGCAGGCAGGGTTTCCAGATACAGCAGGCAGAGTTAATCAAGATCAGGATCAGAAGGCGGGTGGGTTTACCGGAAGTCAGGCAAGGTGGGTAGAACAGGGGCAGTCAGGATCAGTAACAGGAGATCAGTCCGTGAGAGTGTGCTGGAGAGTCTGGCATAGAACCGAAGAACAATCTGGCAAATGTGTCTGGGAGGCAGGAGTCTATATAGGGGCTTGATTACTGATCAGCGGCAGGTGAGTGAACAGGTGAAGGGAGTTTAGACTAATGAGGAGGGAGTGACTGACAATAAGAGTGAGGAGGGTGTGGAGCTGAACTGTGACACTTGCAAGATCGGCAAAAGAGAAAGAAACTAATTTAAGCTCAAGTTCAACATAAGAGCCTGTACACCGTCCATCCAGCTAATACAGACACTGACATTACACAGTTAAAAGCAATGGACATAAGAAACCTAACTAACCATCAACATTGGTCGAATCCTGATCAATGTTGCATAAGTCTTTGGATTTATGGCAATTGCTAAGACTCAATGTGCAACATAAATGAGGATTTGACCGAGTCATCCAAGTGGGTCAAAAGAAACAGCCCACTCAGTGGTTGAGCAGCGTTTGTAGGAGTTTGTTTGTAAGAGTAGAAACAATCGGTGTCAGCTTTGCATAAATCTAAGGCCAGCACTGCTGACTTCTCATGGCCCAGTTTCAAAGGCCCATCCCATTTTCTTTACGTAACTCTTGTCAAGTTTAGTACTCAACTTCTCTTTTAATGTTTGACACTGTGTCGTCGTATATTTTGACTCTGATGTTGTCTGCAAAAAGTAATCTAATTAATGATTTAAAATGACCCCACTGGTGCAATCAGTGAAAGAACATAAAGAAGTAACAGGCACTAAGTAGATCACTTACATCGGCAACACATAACTAACCACACTTCAGAGGTACAGACACGTCCTAAAACAAAGCAGATATGCTTTTGGAAATATACTTTAAAATGCATCAAGTACACAAATTAAATTCTCCTACATACTGGTTTGAGACACCTCTTTTAGCCATGATATTGACTCACAACCCCTGAAAAGGAATGTCCGTTGTTTTATGACAAATAAACGTGTTTCTTGACAAGCTTTTGCACTTTCTGAACGGATGTTTACAAAGTTCCATCCTAAAATAGCAGCATATGTATTCATTATACAACCTAATGCACTTAATGTAATATGGAATTTTTTTGTTCAGGATTTTCCTGTTGAGCATTATTCCTTAAAAGGCCTTTTTAATCTAGTTGGCTGCAGCATCACAGAGGCATTTCAGAGATCCTTTGTCACAGCCAAGTGCCTCCGATTGAGACTAAATTGATTTGCGGTATGTTCCAGGCATTCCTAAGAGCTAGAGCTCTTAGGAATAATAATGCTTTCAAAGCATTATTGCTATGAAAGCAATAAAGCTTTCATTTTTTTCCTCAATGCAATTCTCTTTGACAATGTGATTACATATTGGTGCATACTATGCCACTGAATGTACACCTGGCCTGAACTAGATTCAGAACCAATCTATTTCTTATGAAGTATTTCCTGGCAAGACATACGCCACATGTTGCTGGGGAATTTGAATTTAAATAAGCTACTGTGATTTTTTTTCTTCTCCCAGGATCAATATGTCTTTCCAATGTCTACTTCAATTCCATTAGTTCAGCGGAAAGCTTTTAATCAGAGTATATATTTGTGTGCTTTGCCTGCCCTTCAAAAGTGAGGTTGTGCTGTTGTCAGAGTTTCTCTAAGATTCATTTTTGTTGTATGTCAGCAGTTTATTAGTATTCCACAAATTTAAGCAATGACTTTGTATTACATTTGCAAACTAAACATATTTTGAAGGACTCAAATACAATACATTTCACTGCGGTATGATTCCAGCATAATGAAGGGACTTTTTGAAATATAAGCGATTTAATGTACGATTCATTATACTGAAAGTGATTCTCTTTTTGCTTACAGACGGGGAGACCTGTGATTAAAGGGGGGGAAAGCTGTATTCATTAGCATGTGATGCCACAGTGTATACTAAAAATATCCAGATACGTTATATAAATGATTCCCAAATAAAAGAAACAAAGGCGGTACAAATGCTACCTGCTGTCACTGAGCTGTCAAAGGGTTTCACAAAAAATACTTTCAAAGGACAGATACCTTGAGCAGTCAAATCTAACTAGGTAGGTGGTCCCCTTAGACACAGTGATACTTCAAAGAGATGCCAAACTGTCTTTGCTGAGTCAGAAGCTACACCTAGGCTCTCCCATAAACAACACTGAGACAAAGGTACGCTGCACGCGGCTTGCTTCCAGCAAAATGTTCTCTTGACTTTGACTGATACTCACAGTTTTCCATCTGTTGTTCATGTTTTATATACATATACATTAGAACAGCACTGTTTTCACCTGTAGTCTAAATCACGTTTTTAAATTGCTTAGTTTTGTAGGAGACATAATGCAAGAGGAAATCCCAATGTCGCATCTTTGTGACACCAGTACAGCACCCCTGGTGTGTTGCGACAGGGTTTTTCCGACACAGTTCACAGCCACAAACAACACTGTGGGATTTGGGGGGAGCAGAAGGAAGGATCAACTAATTACCTCAAAACAAACTCTTTGGTCCACAATCTGCTCATCCTCCGCTACAGCAGAGAATCACACAGCATAGCCGAGTGCGGCGCCACAACATGAAATATGTATGATACAGCAGCAGGACATGTTATTCAGGTCATATTCACTCACTCTGTGGTATGAAATACTGCATATCAGCATGCAACACACAGTCCGCATGTACAAAAGCACTTTTTATCAACATGAAGTAGGGTCATTAGATCAACTAGAAAATGGTAAACAGTAAACAGTTGGAGAGTGTTGCAGAATACAGAAGCCCCAAAGGGTCAATTCCTTTCTGAAACAGACTCCTATCAGTAGTTTCTCTATGCATACTCCTTTTTTTATACATGCAGAACTACTTTATTTTTCAGTTGGTTAGGGTCAGACAGATAGAAGAGATGTAGGATAAATAAAGTGGAGTGCAACTCACAGGAGGCACCAGTCATACTTTGCGCTGACCTCAGTCCTGATCGGTCGTCTGACTTCAGCTCTACAGACCACTGTACAATGGGAAGGCACAATCAGTCTTCCGTCCTGACCTAAAGATAAACGTTTGTCAAGTGAAATGATTCAGAAAAGAAGATGTGGAAAGTTGTGAGAGGCTTGCGCTGTTTGCCCGATGTACGTTGTTTTGCTAATACATATAAATATCGAGGACTTTTCTGTCATTTGAAGCTATTTTCCACTGTGCTGTACTTCGTCCCCGTCTCCACTCACATTCCCATACACACAACTAACCGAGACTTTCAAAAAAACGTGGCAGCATTATTGCCCCCAATCCGTAACAGCACATCATGTGAAGAGAGCGGAGAGTCTGCCATTCGGGGCCAGTTTCTTGACAACTTCATTCACTAAAAGAGGCAATTGTGAAGAGTGGTGCTCTGGAAGAGTTCCATACAGAAAAGATATTAAGAGATAGTTTGGGGAGTGGAAATAGGCCCATAGTCAATCCACTTAAAGGAGGATTAATGCTACCGGACTGATTTGTAATGCTCACCACATTTTCTGACATTTTTTGTGAAATGGCATAACAGTCATGAGAGATAAAGGAAGTGTCCACTTGCCAGTCATTAGCAACAGAATGAGGGTTTAAGATCTTACATTATTAGGAAATCCAGTAAAGAGCTCTGTCACTAATGCTACTTTTGTAAAAGTCAATGTTCAGTTGTTACTGACAGTATGTCAGGGTGTTTTTTCAATCCTTGGTTGTGATTTTGTTCAACTGGACTGCATATCAATCTATTTCATATGTTGTCCCTTCCATGTAAAAAAGCTTAGGACCAAATGTTCTCAGTAGTATTTAGGAGTCTGTGTTGACTGCACCTGTCCCGTCTGTGCTCTCTCTCATAGATGACCCCACTGTGCAGGGTCTGGACAAGTCCCGTCATCTACAAACAGGGGAGATGATCATCATCGTGGTGGTCTTGGTCATGTGGGCAGGTAGGTTTGCAGACTGAGGTTGGTTAATAATGATTCCGTCTTAAGAGAAAGAAATCGAAGGGAAAGACGGGTAAAAACACTTGCATATTGATTAGTTGTTGTCAATGAAGAAATTACATTAAAATCCTGCTAAATAAGCTAAAAGATAATTGGATTTTTGCAATAGGAACTGCAACTTGTTTGTATTTATTGTCAGCCTCAATGATATATAGATTAATGGTGCTCACCTGACAGAGCTTTCACACTATAGATTATCTAGTTACATAAATACATTGATGCACCAATCCATAAGACGCCAATGAATGGACAGTCGTCCAGATCAAGACCTACAGGATCCCTGTTAAGTGGAAGTTAAAGTCTAAAAAAACGGAAAAATAAATCTGCCAACTCTGCATGTCCCATCCCTTTGAGGCTTTTTCTTTTTGCAACAGCGATGTCAAAACAACATCACGCTTTCCTGAGCATTCTCTGTAACCAAGCTCTCCATCCATGTATGAGTTTCTACTCCTTTGAGGAAGTGTACTGATTAATGAAGTGTTGAGGGACGATGAGAAGTGGCACATCTGACAGGCTGCCAGGAGCGGGGTTTACCACCCCCGAGCACCAGAGTGAGATGTTAAATAATACCAATGAGAGTAACCAAAGTAACATGGAGGCTGTGAAGAGTGGGAGCAGAAGAATAAAAACACCTCATGTGGCACATTCATCATGGACTGCACATTTGCAGCCAGTCCAGTTTAAAGTGAGATTATTCCCTGCAAGTTATGAGGCATCAAGCACCTCCAAACATTCACAATCTACAAAAGACAGTTGTTTACATTTGCATTTATTAATGTATTTGTTTATTCCTTTTCTTATTCGATTTATTTGTCCTATCCGTGTCATTTTATCTTTTATTTTGTTAACTTTCACTGGTCTGGGTCTGAATAAAGTGAATGAAATGGTAAAGTAGTAAGCAAATTGCTTCAACCCAATGCAATCTCCTCTGCTATATTGTATAGTGTGTCTGTGTAGCAATGTTCTGTTGGTTTCTAAAAGTGCTTAAAATGTTGTGAAAGTTAAAAAAAATCACATTAAATTAACATTACAATAAACTGGAATGTAAACGTCACAAATGACACAAACGCTGCTGTAATTTAACCACCAAACAAACCAGTGGAGATGTCGGCCATGAATGTCTCACAATGACATGTAGCTGCAATATTGCAGAGCGCTTACATGATGTGTGCGTGAATAATAATTTCAATGAATAACTTTTATTTCTCACAGCTCCCTAGTTTTCAGTACCACAACCCCAGATCAGTTATTGAATATTTAATGATAGCCTTCTCATATAAATTCATAAACCTCGGTGAAGCAAGGAAGATAATTGTGAGCGCAGGGTAAACTGGAGGCAGGACTGCATCTGGCAGATTACATATGGTAGCAAAGCAAACTCCATAGAGAATTACTGCCTTCCAAGCCTACAGATAAAAGCCCGGCCATCACGCTCCCTTGGGAGCAGAATTCCATTATCAACATGGCCTTTCAACGTGCTTAGTTAGAAGAAGTGGTGACATGTCTGTGAGTGACAGTTGCCGCCCCACCACTGAATTCCTATCGTCATTTGTGTGTGTGTGTGTGTGTGTGTGTGTGTGTTGTACACGTGCCCATCCCTCACCTCCTCGCAGCCGTCATCGCCCTGTTCTGCCGGCAGTATGACATCATCAAGGACAACGACTCCAGCAACAGCAAGGAGAAGGCCAAGCCGTCGTCAGAGAGGAGCACGCCGGAGCACCACAGCGGAGGGCTGCTGAGGAGCAAGGTGAGCGTGACTCCTCTGAATACACGCACACATAAAGGCTCTTTCAAGCATGCTGTACGTGTACACACTCTCTGAGTGACGGTGAGCCAGCACACACAAACACCTCGACCCTGAAACTGAAGCAGCTAAATGGAATTCAGCCATCGTCACTCTTATCATTGTCAAAATGTTCTGTTTTGTTTGTGAAGCACCTCCCTGCAGAAACAATCTCCTCCAGTGAATAACGATGTAATCTGCTAATTGTGCTCAGCCAACTCTCATTGCTGTTAAGGGCCCACTTAGTGTAGTTTTGTAGGATGCAGGTACATCTAGTTCTACTGTACAGGCTGGAACACAAAGAGCTCCAATATGCCATGATTAATGGTGGATTTATTGGGAGATGGTGCTTGATCAATAACTAAAACATTGCCCTGTGATGGTGTATGTGTAGCAGGTCCACATAGACTTCAGTTTATTACGACGACCCGACTGGAACCTCCTCTCTTGTGCTTTACTAGTCTACACATTCTCACATAAAATAGATTAACAGCAAGCAGCCAGCTGTTCCCGTGATTAAAATGCAAGACATGAATTGACATTTGATTTGAAAACGCAATTTGCATGTGGAGGCATGTGGAGAATACTTGTGTATGTTTAATTAAGAAAGACGTTTTCCTTTAAAGTAAAACCAAATCTGATATCAAACCAAGGACAATAAATGGGTACTGTTTTCACGGGTTGAAACAAAATGACTTCATATTTTCCTTTTTATTCAAAATATATTTCTAATTTCATTCATAGCGACATAAATCTGTTATATATTACTCAACAATGGTGTGAAATGCAACAATAAAAACACCTTTTTACTTTTATTATGCCAAAGTATTGCGGTGGTTAAAGTGGAATGTAGATTATTAGGAGTCTTCCTGCATTTAAATAATACTAGCTGGGTTCATGGCTCCTCTGCCAGATATAGGTTACTGTAACTGTAACACTGTATTTGTCTTCTATCATCAAAATATGTCTTTATTGTAAAGGAGAAAGTAAATTACTAATTATGAATTGTATCTATCTTGTCTGTTGCAGTTTCATCCTTCTGTGCCGTCTATCAACATCATCGAAGTTTGAGAAGAAGGAAGCCAAATTCCTTTCTCAAGGAAAGGAATTAATATATTACCTCATCACAAATGGATATTAAAGGACTCCTGTGGGCAGATTGTTAATAAGGAGAGAAAGCAAATACATGTGTTCATTTTTAAGATCCGCCACAACACCATGTCTTAATTTTTTCTAATAATATTAAAGCACCATTTTCTGGATAACATTGTATTTTTTCATATTTCATAAAAAAAAAAAAAAAAAACATGTCTGTACATAAATCATTCATTTACTGGTTGCATGCAGGTCCTTTGCCTGTAGAATAGCATTTGATGTGCATTCTAAGTTAGATGCCAACAATGGAGAAATAAACACGATTGCAGTCCTGTGAAGCTGGTCATGTTTTCTTCTATTCTGCCTGCTTTTAGAACAGGGCGTTCGCTTTTATCATCCAGCGTTCAACATCACATCTTGCACATTTCCTATTTCTTGAAGTGTAAAATGAACCCTCTTTAGAATGTCCCATCACAAAGTTGCAGCTAATGTAATGGACTTTCTGTGCATAACTCATTTCCAATGTGCACAAAAAGCACTTTCACACAGAAACTGCTCATCAACCGTCACAAAGATGCATTTGGTGCACTAAATGCTGGCCCGAGACTTGCAGTACAGTAGAAAACTGCACTTCGTGCAGAAAATGCTGGCCTAGTCACAAAAACTTTTTTTAACGCAGGTAATACTTCAAAGTGGTACAAATTCATTTGGTAATAATATGGGAGTTAAAATCATCATCACTCCTTTCATTCTGAAGAACAAAATGCATATAGTGCAGGGGAGAAAGACATTAAATCCTGACGGGGGCAGGATTTCAAACAAAAAGTTGTTTGGTGGAATTTATTTTACCTTAAAGAACTTTAAGACAACACAGTTGTTTAATATTGGATGACAGTAAGTAAGCATAAATAAAAGAGCTTCCTTTGTTTGGATTCATCTTAAATCAAGCATTGCTGTTCTCCAAGTCATGGGTTTGAGACCGGAGAGAAAGCCACAGGACACGGCTGGGTTGGTGCTGTGATGTGAGGGATAACAAGCAGCGGTTTTGAAGAGCTCAGCTCATGTTTTGTTACAGCTCTTCAAATTAAGAGTTGTCTCTCCATTCCAAAAGTTGATGCTTTCAGTGATGCTGTTCTGTGACTCAATGGATATCCATGTGTGTCGGACTGACGTTGGCCACACTACAGTATACTCCTACTGTTCGTTCATTGTAGACACATAAGAAACTATTATATGTTCACTTCCCTCTATATCTATTATAATACAACTAAAAGGTAAAGATTTCTTGGGTAAATGTATTGTGCAGACGGCAGTCATCAAGCAATGAAGCAGAAGTTACGAGACCAGGCTGTCTGCTGCAGTATAAACAGGCCATCTCACCTGGCCTTTACACTAGAACGTTCCTAATCAAAAACGCAATTACACGTTAAGAATACAGCTCGTCCTAAAATAGAAAGTGACTGCAGCCTCCTGGGGATTAATAGGTAATGTTGTACACCATCTATTTTTTTTCCCCCACCCTAACTTTATCACTGCAGACTTCTTTCCATCAGTTGTTCAGGGGATTTATGGGATGTTGTTATGTTGTCTATGATCTGAACCCTTGACAACCTTTCTGTGTTTCAGGTGAACATACATATTCCTTCATGTTCATTCTTAATGCTATTGGGGAAATCAGTTTATTGAAATGCATTTCACTTGTAAACAAATACAACAAGCTTCGGTGCGTCAGGTTTTTTTGTCTATATGGTACTTTAAAAGATTAATCAGGTTTGCGGTGTACAAATAGTTGTACCTGATATTTAATTAACTGTTTTAGTTCATATGAACATTCTTCTTTTTCTGATTGAGAGAGAAGAGGAGAGACATCGTCGCTTTGCACCTGGTATGCATCATTTGAGTTTTCAACCATGAGCAGCGGGCAGAATGAAGACACACATCGATGCGATCGTGTCAGTCAGACGGCCAAACAAGAGGCTGTCCTTGCTTTGGATCGACCACAGTGAGCTGTGAAGTGTTTGAGAGGAAAACAGTATGGATTCAAACTATGTTTAAACTAAAACGTTCTGGACAGATCAACGATGGCGATAAAGAGAGTGCTCGTCTGCACAGCGAGCTGTGATGCTTTAGTTGGTTCTTTTTCAAGCCGAGTAGTTGAAACTCATTATTGATCAAATTATAGAGTAATTATGGAATCAAATTGATTTGCTACACTTCGCTATCATATTGTCTGGCATTGCTGAAGGCCAGAGTATCTCTGCAACTATACTGTCAATGAGAGAAGAAGCTTTTTAACAAAAGACCGGTTTCTTCAAATGGTATTCTAGACATGAAAAATCACAGTTGACTGCAATTCAATATTTGTACAAAGTATTTTATTATGCATATGTAACAAACCATAACAGTTTCCAAATTCTGTACTTTTTTTTTTTAACAGTTTAGGACAACTTGTGATTTATAGACAAATTGCTTTTATTATAATAACACAACACTGTTGAAAACCCCACTAATTGCATAGATAGAAAATAAGCACCTTCTTTGAAAAGTAAACCGACACTGTAAACACTGGTTAATTTGGGCAAGAATATCTGAAATTTCTGAAAGCCTCAAATGTTCTCTGGCCCCAAAACCTTCACGGTCTGATTTGTATTCAGTGCACTGTATACTCAAATTGGCATGTTATACCTCCAGGAGCAGGTCGGTCTGTTCACCCCCCTCTCCCGCATGGACAATTCTCGGCTGAGCCAAAGAACCACATCCATTCAAGATCTGCTGTGTGTCAAAGTGTGCTGTGCTCAGAATACTGAAGATATGAAAGAAAACTCTTCAGTCCAGCAGATCAATTCACGCCATGACACAATGTATACGGTGATTGATCAGTTCTACATAAGAACCCAGAGGGCTCACACTGATGTTTTTCCTTGAAAATCTATTTAAAAAGGGTAAAGTCTGGGTGAAGACTACATCCAAGTGTAATATCTACCAGGGAACCTTATAGGTCTCTGCACGGGAGAATAATGCAGCTTGTGGAAGAAGCGACTCCAGCTTTTCTCCTTTTTCGTAAATGTGCTTCAAAACTATGTTGGTTGGTTGTCGTTATTGAAAACCATTATTGAGCCCGAGAGCTCCTGGACAGCAGCCCATCTCCAAATAGCACTCAATAGCACTGAATCAGCAGATACTGAAGCATCCACACAGGCATCAGTCAATGATGGAGCGGAAAAACGTGAGAAAATATGCAAAAATAATTTCTATCCGTGACGAAAGATGAGAAAGGTAAGGCAAAAATGACGACATTGCGTTTTGACGTTGCACTCTGCTGAACAGTCGATACACGGCTCGATAGGTCTTCCATAGACGAGCTGGAGGCTATTTACGACACCCAAAACCGCAAAGAGCTGACTTTCAAAGATGCTATGGAGACGCTATTTCAGCCAGTCAGGAAGGAAACAATGCAATTAAGCTTCATGGCGTAACCTGATAAAGCCATCCAATTATTCTGCAGTGGGTGTCATGACAACGACACTGAGCCCCCGGCGCTACCTCCGCCTCAGTCATGATGCCATGAATACAGAGGGAAGGACCACTTCAGACAGACTGGGGAAAAGATATAATACCCTCCCGACAGCGAACGTCATCCGAGAGTCATCTAAAAATAAGCAGTAATTCATATATAATAGGATCTGGGACGAAGGACGTGTTTTGTGGCACAGACTGCGGTTAATCGAGGAACATGTGAATTGTGTCGATCGGTGTAACAGGTGATTACTCAATCGAGAATAGGACTTTGAATAATTGAATACTGTACATGGGTGACTGATGGCTATATTGAAAAAATAAAGCAATTCCTGCAGTGATAAAAAAAAACACGTATGATTATATTTTGTACAAATTGTCTAACCTAATGAAAAACATACAGGAATATACACATTCACATCTCAACAAGAGTGATGATTATTAAAAACAACCTTTGTGAAGCCCTGAATGTATTCATCCTACTTCTTTTATAATGATACCATATGCATACATAAATTACACAGCTTTGACATTGAAAAAATACAGAGTAAGGAAATATGTTGCTTTACTCTTAATAATTTGGCCTCGCCATACACTCGTCCTCTTAACCTTACATCATCGCTATTCTTTAACAGTAACATCATCTTTATGTACAGTGGCAGCTGACTGACTGAGGAGACGGCAGCATGTAAATTAGTCATTGTATTTTGGTTACATAAGCCATATTCATATAGACAGCCTGTCTGCTGTTGTGCTGTGTTTTCTTTACATTGCAAACAATCTACTGACATTGTTACCACAAAGCAAGCAAGCACACGGGAATACAATGGAATATCAATTCTGATCATTTATAATCCACATCTCTCGCAATAGTATGGTTGTCTTTGTGTGTGTTTTGGTGGATTCAAATTTTTTTTAAAACAGATTAAGATGTGTTTACCTTAAAACACATTTATGTTCCAAACAATAAAAAGATGACATACGGGTATAGTTTGCCCATATGTCATGACTTTATCACATGCCGTTTCATTATTCAAAGAACTGCTTGAATCAAAGCACAAACAAGCTGAAAGATGAACGCGTAATTCATAAAATATCATGACTGAAGATGTGTACCAGCTTTGCTGATGATCTCTCTGAACACTGGACTTCCTCCAGTGACGGCTGAGACTGGCAGCTGTTACTTTTGTTAAGCAAACGACGAGATCAGAGCTTTCACGTTTTCAGAAAGGAGGCGACAGCCTTTTATGTACACACATCTCTAAACTGCTTGATGCTGAGTATATCTTCATCTGAATTCCACTCATCTAAGTGGAAGTGACAGTGTTTTTTACAAGTTCAGATTAAAAGAAGGAGAATCTTCTGTGGAACTTCTTTGAGTAGAAACACGTAATTCGTGCACGTCTTGCAGTGCCGTGTTGTACATCGTGTGCACGGCCTTTTCGTCTGGCAGTTGGTGAGAGTAGGAATATGGCGTAGGATGGCTGTTTACACCGAGTGGAGTGTCGACTGTCAGGCATGGCAGTTTATATTATCAGGGCATCCATTCTGTCTTCTCCGCAGCAGCCACAGAAAATCAAGCAGAGCCTCACCGATTCAGGTCGTGCACCGGGGAAGCGTGATGCGCTTTGCTGTCGGCTCAAGTGACGTTTACTGTTTTTTTGTGTTTTGATTCTCTTCTTTTTTTTCTGTGGCGCTCTTAAGTTGGGGCAGCTATTTCGGCGTGTGTTATTCAAACTCATTGTTGCAAATAGACAACAGATTCTCGCAGGAGACCTCGCTGGGACTCAGAGCTGCATCGTTAGAGACGGGTTCGGAGCAGGACTCGGCCAGTCTGACGGAGACAGGAAGAGAGAAAAGGTAATATTGCTACAGAGGTCAAAGGCAGGAAATATGTATTCATCCAAGGGGTTCACAGGATATGCTAAGCTTAAAAACGGATAGAGAAGAAAGGATAGGATGTGGAATGACAAAAAAAATAGCTTATAAATAACTTGAATGTGGCTTTGTACAGTACAGTATGGAATCAACATGTGCAGATGCCAGAAGTTTCCCTCATGGAGGGGGTCCTTGAGGCATGTCAGCTCATCACAAAAAGGTCCACCAAAGACGACCACTTCATTTAGATGATTTGCTTATTTCTGGACAGTCTGGAACTTAGTGGTATTATAATTGCAAGGCCTCATGCAACATGCAACATCAAGCATGCAAATAACATGAGTCACATCACTTACCGGTGTCCATCTCCTCTACTTCCATGTTGCTGCATGCCAGATAGAAGAAAGAGGAAATCATAACTACGTGACTAAATATGAGAGGCTTAAATATGTTAAAACACTCAGAATGTCTCTTATGAAATAAAAAAATAACAGTCAAGAAGCATAAAATTACATTAAATTGTAATAACTCATCACATTTAGATGAGATTTAATAATTCAATCGACTCATTCCAAAGCCGCAAATTAGGGTTAACTCCAAGGTTGCCGATGAATGAAGACATCTTAAATGGAAATTTAATTATTAAATAAACCGAACGGAAGTTCATGTCAACAGTTGAATATACTTGAAGAACTATATTCTTACAATTCGATTTTTTCACAGTCCCCAACCCTGACCTGTGCTTACACAGTTAATTAAAAGTGGTGGAAGTGATTTAACAAGTTAGAAGACTGTATAGCATTGCTAGTGACCCCTGGAGGATGTGCTGCTACAGACAAATAAAGTGGTTTAAAGAGATCCACCAACTGGCCCCCAACGCTATCTTTCTTAAAGAGGCTAAGCAGGACACTAGCTCAAGAGGCCTGATGGTAAGGTGTTTATGTACAGGAGAGATCGCTTACAAAAACAAAACCTAAAAAGATTTCAAAAAAATAAAAAATGACTTTAATTTTACTATTGGAATGTTTTATGTTAAAAGCTACACAAAGCTCCTAAAAAGGACCGCGCAGTTGAGAACCAAACCATTCACAGCTGTGGAACAAAATGTAGACAAGATAGGCAATGGCAATGTCTTGAATCTTTTAGTGTGTAAAACATTGGCATGCTTCTTTGTAACCAGAGCAACATCTAATGTTTGGCCATTGGCTGGAGCAGTATATAAAAGTATGATCCCTGAACATTTCGTAAAGGAGCAGAGACCACAACCCTCCTTCTGCTGATCTAAAGTCACTCCCAAAGTCACACGTCACACTGAGGAGGTGTGACAGCCATGACAACTGAAGGTGATCCAGAGTCTTCCAGAGATCAGGGCAGATCTTATCCACCATTCGTGCTCCGCCACAGCAGAGCCCGACATCCTTGCTGACCTCTGCAGGGGGAGGATGTCTTATCATTCCCACAATCCTTCAGGATTTCCTGTAGGATGGTCAAATCTAAATCGAAGTGTCACACCTTCCTCCATTCGGAATCCACACTTGAGGTCAGCATTTCCTCGTCCCTGCTCAGGACAGCCTCAGGAATGACTTCCCTTCACACCCGGCCACACATTTACCCATTTGCTTGGACCAAAGCGTTGCATGCTCCAACACAACAAACAGATATTGGCCACAGGCAACATCACTTAATGAGTTGTGGTCTCTTTAATGTGTGAAAGCACCACCGGGCTGCTTTTCTCTCTTTATGGATGAACAAAACAGCACTGCAGGACACACACATATCGGCTGGTAATAGGAGGAAATGAAAAGCCATTTTCTAACACTATTTTCTAACTTGGTGGATTTACGTCTTTTGTGAAGGCAGCAGCATTACGCCGATGTAGTGGCACTGTATGGTAATCAGCATAGTGAACAGGGAAAGGCGCTGCCAAAACTGTCAAAGAGGAAGAAAACAACCGTCTGTTTTTCGCCTGGACTGCAGCAAAGCAGGAACCGGCCCGATAAATGTGAAAGTCCGTCACTGACTGACAGAGTGATGAAATTACACAATCTGTCATGGCACTTTCAAAATGAATATGTGCTTCAGTGCTTCCGCTGGTAACGTCTTTGCCACCACAGCACATTCCGCGATCAATCGGCACACGGAAAGCCGATGACGTCATTATTAGTCTCCTATTCCAATGGTTTAATATAGTTTTATATCGCCAGCTGGCGTTAATGTGTGCCTGAACGCCATCTTGCACTGAGACTACAACGCCAGTGTGCGTTTGTTTACACCAGTGAAATGTTAGAAAATAAAGTATTTTGGTCAACTGTTTCCCATTTCATAGAATACAATAGTTCAAACAGACATCTGCAGAACATATATATGAGATTACAACATATCTGAGAACATTATAAATGTAAATAGGTCTAATTTAAATTACAAAAAAAAGGCTGTACAAGTGTCTTGTAAAAGTATTACTGAATAGATTTTTATTTTTTTTTTAAACCTGCAGATGAACATGTAGTATAACAGCTCCACCTTCACTAAACTTTACACTTACTAAAACTCTAAACTCTGTCATCATTTGTCAACACCTCACCAGTCAATGATGACCCGAACAAATACGTTTTAGGACACCGAATGAAGTTACCACACAATTATTATGTGCATCCTTTCTACATCAGCTCATTGCTGTGGGTGTAACGTCATCTTTTAACATAGAGTTACCTAAGAAAAGGAGACTATTGCATATGCCTGTCTGTGTCTGTGAATTTCAATAAATATTTGTGTCAGTCAATCTGTCAAATCCAGTTTTTCTTATCTGAAAGAGTCAGAAGGATTACTGACAGCTGACCATCACTCTCAGTGCAACTGTCAACATTGCTTGACAGCATTCAAATGGGGATCTACTGCATTTCTGTTTCGAACTGGAGTCAACATAAAATTCATAAATTTGGTTTTCAAGGGGGAAACATTTAAGTATTTTGTGTGAGTGAACAATCCCATCTCCTTTCCTAAATAAAAGAATGAATCCCCAGTGTTCAGCAGTAGTCATATGCAAAGGTTACCTTGAGAACGCATCATCGAGGCCATCCTCCACGTCCTGTTGGGACATGAACAATATAAATCAATACACACGTAAATTACTTTAAATAACAATGCTGCTGCTCCTGTGGCTCGTCACTGAGTCAGCTGTTTGTCATAACGTATTTTATCCATGTGACACACAAATTAATTTATGAGCTAAAGAATCAAATACTGCACAACGCAGCTTTTTGTTCCAATCACTGACTGAATGGCAATATTGCATGACTAATATAAGTCTGGAAACATATGGATATGGATACTTTGTTGCTCTACATTCTCTGCACATTTGGGAAAGCAAGTGATCCAGACAATTTATATCACCTTGCATTGTTTTAATTTATGAGATACTAATGAATATCATTAAATAAATATTCTGTCAAATTTACACTGAAAATAATAAACAAATGAACTCGATGTAAAGCAAACATGGATTATAAACAACACAACAGTAGGAGAGGAGTAAAGATGAAATCTGACTCAATTCTACCGATGAGAGAAAAATCCCATAAAGGGAAAATATGCAACAATGAACACAGATGCATTTAGAAGATCAGCCAGTAGGTGAGATATTCTAATGCATATAGTGCCACCTAGTGTTACGAATCTGTAAGTGAACACCAGGATGGTGACTGATGGTGAGCCTCTGCAGCATAAACATAAAGAAAGTTTTACAACAACTACATGTAACTGCTCCAGTTATACAGACATCAGTGTCAGAAACAGTTTATAATGTTGGGCATTTCCCCCACAAAACACAATAAAGGGGGCAAACTTGTTGAATTTTGAATTGAAAATGAAAAAATATAGTAAGGTTTAGTATATTCAACTAAAGGTTGCAAACTGACTCGGCCTTTTCAAACTGCATGGACAACACTTTGCAGCGGCTTCTGCCATCTCTTCAAGTCAGCTGACTCTTTATCTTGACAATTTATCTTGACAATTTATCTCAAAATTGAATTCAGAAGGCAAGGAAAATGCCCAACAATCATGATATGTAGAGGTTTATTTTTTCAATATTTTGTTTGCCAATAGACACACTGCTCCCCATAACCCTTTAGATATTTTTAGATAGTCTTGTATTGATTTATTTACAGACAAGCAGTCGATGGTTTTAATCCAAGGAGAAAGGAAGTGATTTACAAAACATAAAAAAAATACGAGAGACACAGCAATCCGATACACCGGACTGGAAATGACCAAATTAAGTTTATGTGACAACATTGATGGCCTCATGTTAGCGTGCATAAAAAAGGATCCTTATACTATGGAGTGAGGTGTACATATTTAAACTTTGGGAGTAAGACACTCCTATAGGATCGGTACCCTGAGTTTCAGGTATCAGGAATTCGGTATCAGGAGAGAAGAAGTTGGATAGGTGCATCCCTATCTGTCACCATAGCATAAAACCACTTTAACCATTATTTTTGGCCCAATCGGCAGGTTGGAGGCAGATGGTGTGACCTACCCAAGAGTCGTGTTTGATTGGTCGCCTCCGAGTGGGGTTACTGCGAGGCGAGGGCGAGCTGAGTAAAGAGGAGAAGAAGGGCCTCCGGAGCTTCTCCTCCAACCCAACAGGCTTGCGTGCCTCTGGATCTGAGGGAGGTGGCAGGTGTGGACGAGAGGTTGACAGGGACACGGGAGGTGAGACAGAGGGGGACAGAAAAACGGAAAAGGACGGGACACATACAGATGGACGACAGAGAAGCGAGAAGGAGGGAGTTGTCAGTATTTTCTGTTTCTTTAAATCTCCCAGTCTGCAGTATCGAAGTGAAACATCAGCTCCTGCCTGTGGCACTCACAGCTCTCTCTGCAACAGGCAGAATTTAATTAACCTCTAAAACTTTCATACGACTCTCTGTGCCGAGTTACTCCAAAAGTCCTTGAGGCTTTCACATCACATTTTCTCTCTGTCCTCGGTCCACTACCGCTGGAAGTAGAGACAATATTAATTGAAAGCAGCTGGGAAAGCCAGCCCTTATCTCACAACAAACTGAATGGACGATTATGTCTCATTTAGCAGACCCTGTTACCCCTCTGAGCAGTGGAAAACATTTTGACCGATAAATGTCACGGCTATTGGATAGTACTTAAAAATCTCCAGCCCCCCCAAATGACTAAATGAGTGGCGTAAAAATTAGGCGATTTGTCCCAAGTGAGAAGTGATTGACGGCAGTTAAACTGTGAGCATGCCGTCTTCCGGCTCAGTTTAATATGTAGCTAGAAGATGCTAAGTATGTATATGGAACTGAAAAACCTAAGGAATTGATTGCTACCATACCGTTAGCGGCTTGCTAAATAACATTCAATTTTGGCGAGGGAAAAAACTGGCATGTCGATTTTCGAAAATGTCGCCTTGACCCTAAGGGATGAATGAAGGAGTGAATGAAAATGGATTGTTTGGGTACCCATGAGTCTCTCCTTCACAGAAATGCCCAATTTATGCTAATCCCATGCAGTTTGGGGCGAAAAAACCAAGCTCATTGTTGTGTACCAAACTGCACTAGAAAGATCATTTCAAAGTCATTACGCCAGTGTCTACAGAAGCATTTACTTAATCGTGTTCACTGGAAACGGTTTGTGAGGATTATGGAAAGCCTCAAGTCTGGAGGAATCTGTTCTTTACTCACTCTAAATCTGCATCTACTTACTGTCTCGTTTTAGCGACTGCAATATATTACAGTTGTAATTTTTACTAAACTACTCAGGTTATAGTAATCTTGTCGGTGACAGGCAGTTGTATCTCTCAGCAGGTTTATACAGTAGGTTGAAATAACACAATCTTTATCCTCATCTTCCTAGAAATACAACACCTGAATTATTCCAGGGTGTAACTCCATCACTACAAGAATCACACCTCCCAGTTAGCTCAGTGTGGATAATTAGCTGTTAGCGCTAGCAATCTGGTCAGAGCCAAGTGTTTCTTGTGAGTGAAGCTTTGCCTGTATTATACTGCAGTCATCTAATGTGTTTACACATCTGGCAAATACAGTGTCCAGTTCAACTATTGAGCCTTTTACAAATAAATCCATATTTAAATAACTGCCGTTGAGCTTAATGTGATGTGCAGGAATGCACTGTGGATGAGGACAAAATCAAAGGAACTTACCTGCAGGAACACACTGAGTGTCTGTTGTCTGTGTCTGCCCTTTGCTTGCTGCACAAGAACAGCAGGTCCTGGCTTTTTTGTTTTTGTCTGAAGACAGAAAAAAAAAAATGTTTGTCAAAACTAAACCTTGAGAAAACTATGGGATGTTTGAAATGTGTTGGTATTTGATGATACTCACATGTTTTGATAAAGCTGATGATAATCTTATGATCACAAATGAACACCACTTTTTTGAAGCATGAATACAAATCAACAAACTACGACATGAACGCGAGTTTACACAACAAGGCTGTGGAGGCGGATTAGCCGGCGTGATGATGTTTTGTAGTCTCATTGAGCCACTTCTTAGCAACCATATTTTTTTAAAACATGTAAAAGCTTCACAATTCATAAGAGGGGTATTTACTGACGTATTTTATAATGTAGAACAAAACTTAAAATCTCTTGTGTTTACCACATATCTTATTTCAGGCATCTAACCAGAGATGAGGGAACCGGAAGGGCAAACATGCCGACTCATTTTTGGGTTTTAGGTGGCCCTCAGTTCTTTTGATTGTTAAACTTAGTTAGATTAGTCACAGATTGGATGGAGTAGAGCCTTTCCTTACTCATATGTTTTTTAAAACAGTTCAATGAACTGTCTCAATGTGACCTTCTTCCTGTTCAGTGAACTTACCTTCCTGAGCAATCTCCCACAGATCGAGGGCCACTTTAAAGGCCTGGGCCACCGTTAATGTCACAGCCTGAGCCTGAAGACAAAAGAACAGGGGAAGAATAACACATTTAGGATGAAACATTCATAGTGAAAATATAAAACATATGGAATAGTTGTGATTCCATTTGGTGCTCAAGAAAATGCTTTGACATCTTTTTTCGATAAACTATTTCTCTAAATACAGATTGATGAGTTGTGAGGTGTCCTGCCACAAGATGGAGCCATACACCATCTACATTTACGCCACTCGCTTCCCCAGATGAGTTACATATAGACTCAGTCCTCAAACAAACTGACCTCAAGACCTGCTACAGTCCAAGAAGCATGTATTCCTTACTATACATCAAGCTAAACCCAGACAAACAGGTATACGCAACAAAATCACAAGTGATGCACACTTACGATCTTCTTCTTTTGGCAGAGAAATGCATGGCACTCCAGGGTCTCATTGAACTGACTCTGAGAGACATATGCGAAGACCTTATCCTGAGTTTTATCTGCTGTGCAGTACGAGATTCTGAAGGAGAAGAGACAGAACATTTAAATAAAAATCATTGTTCCTGTTTACTAACACCATCGATTCTCCTGACACAAGAGCATTTATGATGATAAATTAGCAATTGCACCAGATAGGAACCAATTGATGAGATGAATAAATGAATAACGTGCATTGGCAGGTCTTAACCGTTTGGCCTTACACACTCAGGCAGCCAAAAGAGCTGCATGTCTGTGTGAAAGGGGATCAGCTACAGGTCATACATACATACATACATGTCAATTTAGGCCACAACTTTGCTTTTTCTCTCAACCTTTTTCCATATTCATAAGCAAACCAATCATAGCAGGACGAGAGCGCTGGTTTTGAATATTATGCTAATTAAGTCCCACAGCTGGCAATGGTAGAGCAGGAGACAAATGAGCAGCAGTGACATCCGTGAGAGATTTTTACATTAATTGTGGAACACATTAAGTGTTTTATGCAAAAAAAAAAAAAAGAAAAAAAAAAAAAAAATCTATAAAGCTGATACAATAATGCTTTGTGGATTCAAAGTTCCCATGCAAGGCACAGATGGTTAATTGACCCTGATTTATTTGAGTTAAGTGTTGTGCTAATAAAGCTGCAGTGACCACCTGAACATGTTCTGTTTTTGGGGCTTTACGCCTGCAAGCCAGCTTAAATAGTGCGAGTGTTTGTTGAATTCACTGTATTCAGGTAACTTGCATACGCTATTCCTCACAGTTTGGTCTTATTTGTCTCTTGAGAACATCAGCCAATAGAGAAAGGCATGTGAAACTGCAGAAAATCTGATTAAAATGAGTTATTTGAAAATATTAATTTCTGAAATAATAAACTCTTTATATATTAAATATCTGAATTTCTTCTGTCAGTACAGTCTTGGATTACAAAACTATCTCTGCTCTATATTGTGCTTGAGACCTCATTCCAAACAGTCACACCGAACCTCTTCAAGAAATCCAATTGCCTGTAAATCCAGTGACAGTTATTTCCAATGGTAATCTAAAACCAATCTCGACAAAGTCCACCAAGCCGTTTGGCTCCCCCACAACAGCTCGTAAAGGTTTACTGAAGCGACAGACACAAAAACCTATGGATTTGTTTTTGTCGGATTTTACGCAGCCTATTAGAAGCCGTATCGATCTCGAGTCACTCCCTGTGTCCATCTGGGGTTGTTAGCTAAAGCAGCAGAGTGTGTCAAGTTTGTTGCTTTGGATAGATGTGTAAATGAGCCACAGTGAGTGATGGACTTGACCTTTGTCACCATAGTGAAATACAAAACCTACATCATTAACTGCACAAGAACCAGATTGGATGCTTTCTCTCGCATAATGCAGGAATAGAACTCTACAGGCCGAAGTTGTGTTTTTCTTTCCCCGAATAGAACACAATTCATACATTCTCAATTAGATTTTAGACACTCGGGGACACACAATGCATGTCATCATCATCGGTATGGAGCCGATTTCTATACAATCCGCCGTCATTGCAGTAACTTGTAAGCAAAAGGGATCCGCAGCTATCAGACGCTCATTTGCTGCACCGCTTCAAGGAGGCGCACTAAAAATAAAGTTAATTTATTCGGTCAAACAACAAGCATGAAATCACCAGCGCTCGGATCTCCCTCTCAGATTGTTTGCTTTCTTGCTCCACTGATGCATGACCCACATTGCAAAGCCCATGACACCCAGCTCAGTAGTTCCCCATCTCCTCCGTCCTCGAACTTATATTTGGGCCTTAATTGCAGAAAAATGAGCGGGGTGGGGGTGGGGGGGAGTTGAAAGGGTTGACCTATTTAAGTTTGGTTTTCCAAACTACTCAATATAAAACTCTATTTATCATCTTATTGAGACATTATCTACTTTCTGCCTAGAATTTATTTGGCGCAACCTGATTTCAGTCATTTCTGGGGGCTTTTATCGTTTGAGCCTCCACAGATTTGCATCTCGTTGTATGTGCACTCTCTGAATTTTCAATTTGTTGTTCAATAAAATTAATAACACATTATTCATCACAAAGTAATGCATTATATACTGCACAATGGTGCATTCTGATGCTTTGTCAGCAGCACTACATTAGCAGCATTATCAAAACCTATTGCTATGAAATCAGGAAGTGTGGTAGTGGTAAAGCGGTGTTACAGACAATATAAAACAGAAGAAAAAGGCCTGCGATTGATTATATTATCTTTTTATAACTATATCCAAGTTCAACTTTAAAGGCCACCCTGTGCATGCTTCACAAAGTTGAAATAAAGGTTCTTTATATCATCATGGACAGTCGTATGAGGACGGAAGCCTGAAGATAGTCTGCAAACACAGCCAGTGCCTGGAACTCATCACTCCTCTCTCTTATCGTACACTGCGGTAGATCGCCAGTTCTGAGGCTGAGTTATACAAATGCACTGCAACAAGAAATGCTGTTTGTTGTTAAGATGTTCAGCAGTAAACATACGCAAAATTTGCAAATAGGTCAGTGCACATACAGTATGGGCCTCTCTGACGAGCCAAGATCTCCAAACAAGTAGCAGCAAGAATCTATGACTGTAATGTGAGAATTGAGCTGTGTAAAAAAGAAGACACAATTTACAGTCACTTCTATGCAGTGTGATGAAACAAAAGGTCTCTTAAAGATCCTTCTGCATGCACATTTTATTCATTGTAAAACAAAAAAAACAAAAAACCTTTTAATTACTGCCACCAATGTGCCACACAATGGATCGTGTTCACAGAACAAGCCTTCAGCTTGAAACAACAACAGGAAGGAAAATAATTGACAGCATCACAGAATTTTCACTATAAGCATGAACAACAGAAGCTGAGCTGTCAGTCTGCATCATATCTCCAAAGGGGCTCAGTGGACCACAAGCCTTTGATCTCCTCACTGTGTAGAGCACCGGTGTTTGCGAGGCAGAGAGGGGAATATCAATGGAAATATTTTAATATTTACAGTACAAAGCATGAATGGAACTTCAAACATCAAAGCCGCGGATTCTCTATGTACACTGAATAAAGCAGGTACGCCATTTAACACAACAATGGACTACTTTTGTTCCAACTTTTCAACCGGACATAAGTGCATTAATGAAACACAGCATTTTGCTTTCGGTGTAGGGAAGCGGGCATCAACACTTTTTTGCAAAATGTGGAAAAAATGAAACAAAAAGAAAATGGCAAAATACATTCATGGATGGTAGAGAAAAGATTGTTCAGGGGATCCGACAGACACATCTCACAAATCTGATGGTACGTCAGAACAGCGTGTGTTAGTTATGCTTCCAGCTCTTCGTTTCTGACCTGTACGGTTGTGCTGATTGATATGCTGGTCGATCTCTGTGAGCTCCTGTCAGAATATGAATCAGTAACACCAGTGCAGATGGAGGCTGAACACCTCACAGCGTTCTGCTCATTGGGAGATGCAAGTTATACCGTCTGTTTGTTGTTGTTTTATTATTTAGAAATTTAAAAAAATACCACAGACAAATAAGATAACAAGATTGTTTCAGTTTCAGTAACGAAAAATAATAGTTTCACATAAATTACTTGTATTCAGAAATGAGAGATTTCTTCTGTATTTATGATCCAAAGTTTTCCCCGACTTAAAAGAATAGTTTGGCAACATGGGAACTAAACTTATTCCCTCAAACAAGAGTTAGATGAGAAAAAAGACACCACTATGCATTAACTATGGAGCTAGTTCCAGGAGAAGGTTAGCTTAGCATAAAGAATGGAAGCAGGGGGAACAGCTAGCCTGGCTCTCTCCAAAGTTATATTAAAAACACACCAACTAATAGCTCCTAAACTCAGATATTAACTAATATCATGTTTGTTAAATTTGTACAAAAAATAAGTGGAACAAGTGTTTTACTTGTTACAGCTGAACTTCATTTTAAACTTTATTGATTGTTGTCGGAAAAAAACTCCAGTGGCATCTGTAAAATATTGCCACATCATATATTTTGATAACATACTGTGGTACTTCATGCTGTCAAAAAAACAAAACAGGTTTTTCAAACCTCCTGTGTGGCTTAGTCCTCCAACATAATCCCTGCCAGCAGTTAGACCTGCAGCAGCACTATAAGACAGACTTGATCATGTTAGAAGATTAAGCTCATGATAATATAATCTGAGTGGCTGATACTGGAAATTAGATGCACTGTAGAATGGGCTGCCAGGAACTGAATGACTGTCAAGGCTGCTGAATTCAATATCCGTTTGTAAAAAGTTAAAAGGCCACTGATACGGGATGATATTCATTGTTTGTGTCAGTGCGTTTGTGTGCGCGTGTGTTTGTGTGGGCGCGGGTCTGCATGTGGGTGGATGGGTGGGTGGGTCATGGCTGCGGGGATCTTATTTCTAATGCGATGGCATGATGCCTTCCTGTCTGTTTTCTATTCCTCACTAAGCTTCGCCTGAGGGAAAGTGTGAATCCAATAAGTGTGAATACACAATTAACTCTAAAAACTCACACATTTACATACACACTCGCTGTGTGAGGTGTATACTCAAATGTATTTACTGCTTTTTTTCCTTACTTGTTATGCACAATAAACACACATTTGATCCGTGCCCTTACATCTACACTTTCTTTCACCCTTGACTTGCTGTCTTGGCCAATAAGTGGATTATGTGCAACTAAAATAAGACATAAGAAAGGAGGGGGAAGAGGGGCAGTGGGGCTGTAAGGAGGTGGGGGTGGGGTCTCATAAAGGGGTTAAATCAATCCTCAGTCAACCCGAGCTCTGCATGTGGCCCTTCTCTCCTGCATCATTACTCGGGAGGATCGGCAAAGACTGGCAAGCACGAGTTTCAAAGTAGCCAATTAGTGGTGGGGTATTCCTGCGTTCAGAGCTCTGTTTATGTTAATATGTGCAGAAAAGAAAGATTTCTTTCAAGACATTAAAAAAAATGAAAGGGGGGAGAGGAGAGGAGGGGGAGATAAGGAGGGAAGGGGAGGAGATCAAAGACGAGGCTGATTCCCCTGGCCTGTGGTCTGTTGCCGCTGATAAGGTGGATCAGGAACGGATGTAGACCGACACACACGAACCACATGTATCCACACACACACACACACACACACACACACACACAGTCGTTATCACCGCCTGTTCCACAATCCAGCCATATAATGTTTAGACTGTAATCCTCAATGACAAGGACCTGTCTATAATACAGGACGCTATCCAGAGAGGAGAAGCCAGTCAGCAAATCACACACACACACACACACACACACACACACACACACACACACACACACCACTGATTTGGTAGACTGAAAGAGGGCAGCTTTCCTTGACCCACAGAGACAGTATCGGGCATCCCCCAGGCGACCCCCACCTGCCCTCCCATTATTGGTTTCCCAGTGAATTGATCAAACATGTGATTCACAACTGGCTGAGAGCAGAAAACTGCTTAGTTTAATCCTGCCAAAGGAGTCCAAGCGATGGGCAGAGAGCAAAGTGACCTAGATAGAGGATATCAGTTTCTTCATGTATCAGATGAAGCCACTTCTTTGGGTTTAGGACTCAACTTGAGGGATTATTAGCATCGTTATGCTTAGATGATGGCCCAAAGTTCAATATGGAATAGCAATACCTTAGTTTATGAACCATCCATCTAATGAACCATTGTTAAGTGATTATGCATCATGTCATATTGCACGCCCATCCTTGTAAAGTCTTTGAGGTAACTGACAATGTTAAGTGACACTTCTACATGCAGCGCATCGGATTCTCAATGCTTTGCATATTTCCAATTATTTGCATGAACGTAATAGTCCTAAATGAGCTCACTGCCACTTGTAACATGTAAAAGCACACACTTATTACAGGTTTCTCTATGAAATCTATTTGAACACAGTATTTTCGTATTTACCTGTATATGGAGACATTTTCCACGAGGTCTGTCGTCTCTGTGTCTGTCATGATGATGCCCTTCGGTGAGACCGTCAATGTTACTTTTTGAAACTTCTTAGCACTGGCCCTGGCCTGTGAACATGAAATATAAAAACACATTTACATCAAATAGAGAAGATCTTGCCAAAGAGCTACCCTGTCACTCTGACATAAATTTAAGATGATCTTACTTCTGATAAAACACCAAAAAAAAAGAACTCTAATGCTTCAGTGGCTGCCGAGCAAAATTAGGCGGCCTGCATGAGTTGTCCCAGAAATGTGGGGGATTTATAAAAGGGTGGAGGAGGAAAGTTGCAATGTGTAGCCCAGAATGAAGGCTACACATTGCAACTCGAGGTCGGGCTGGCAGCCCCCTCACTCCCCCTGCCGCTCTGCTCCATCTGGTGTTTCAGAAAATACGGCCATAGTGCTGAGCTTGCGGTCTGCGAGAGCGCCTTTCGACAAGGACAATGACCTCCTTAGCATGCAATTAGCAAGCAAACGAGAGCCGTTTAGTTTCACATCCAAATGGTATCAGGTTAAGAAATCAGCAGAGCGACTGAAGGAATACAGAAGGAGAAGAAGAAAGAGATGATTTCATCGTTGTACTGCACATTTCGACATTCAGCCTGCATGGGAACTCTTTCATTTCTGCAGAAGGTGAAGTAAAGGCCAACAGGGAAGAGAGGAGCTGAGGATGAAAAGAAGTGGGGTCTTTGCTTAAAACAGAAACAAGGACTTCTGAAGGACAGCAGGATTGGTGCCGTGGCTTGCTGTGGGAGCCTAAATGCCCTGGAGATGAGGAACAGTGACGAGGAACAGTTCTGCTTAAATTCACAGCACTTAAAATAAGGGAAACTTATAATAAAGAGAGACTGAGGCAGCTCCTTCATGTAGGAAGTGGTTACAACCGCGTTCTCTTCGGTCATGTTCGTATGTCGTGCCTTAAGGCACAAAAAAAAATCTGTCAGCTTGAGATACGCCAAGTTCAGCCTTCCTTTCTACGTTTGGTCCCTCTGTCTTGTCTTATCGTGCCTGAATGAAGCATGTCGCAAATGGAAAAGTCACAAATGTATTCAGTAATCCCATTTAGGTTGATTGGTTTCCAAGGGAACAGACAGAGACAACCGAGTTATTTTTCCTGTCCTGGTAAAAAAAATCAATTGAATCTTAATCCTGCCATTAGGTTCAGTCTCTAATTGAGAAGTGTGTGTGTGTGTGTGTGGGGGGGGGGGGGGTTCTGATTAGGTTGCCTTTTCTTTCTGTAGAGAAAGCCTTTCCGGCAGATTAGGCATTCTTATTGTTGGCGGCGCTCAGTGGAAAAGGTGTGCACGTGTGCGAGCATGGAAGAAAGAGGGGAAGAGGGAATAAGATGTATGCAAGTTTGTGTTCACAAAAACATCCAATTAGTTTGTGTATGTCTACAAACTCACCGTTCAAATGCAACAGTTTCTTCACAGTTTTTAAAACGGTGTTGTGAAAACGGGCAGGATTCTGAATTGATGTAGAAAGCCGCGCTCAGAAATCCCCCGTGTGGCTCAGTGTTGAGTAAACATCATATCACTGGTTTGACTGCTGCACGTGTGCAACCACTGATAATCCTGGATTAGCAGCTATGTTGCTGACCTTGATATAAACATGACTCGACTATAACTCCGTGCCAAGAGAATTACAGAAAGTTAAAAAGGTGAATGACACCGATTGCTCGGTTTAAAAGTCATTCTGCTGGTCAATTCAACATTTGACTTACTTTTAAATTTGTACTTTTTTCTCTTGAATGGACTGTTTGTCCAACATGCTAGGTAACACTGAATAGGATGATTATGAGAGTGTATTTTTTGCCATGAGAATGCATTTGCTGAGGTGGGCGTGACTACTGTTGTAGTGTTACCCCCAAGTTGTATCATACTGTAGATACGGTGGAACAATTTACCAATTTATCAGACATGACCATCCTGGCAAAATATTGTCCTGCATCATCAGAATAACGTGCATAAAAATCTGCATTTGACAAGTAGTCGTTCAAATATTATGCCCTGCAGTTTGAGGCTGTAATTTCACAAATCCCCAAGAGAATTTCTATAAAAAGCATCGGCGTAATTGAAATCTTCACAATGTCACTCTGGAAATGTCTCGTTGCCATTCGAGATCCTGACCTTGCCGACAAATTTATATGCAACTCCCGTTTTCAAATATCAGAATCAGCTCCATCGTGTGTACTGTATTCTGTGCTGACAATGAAATCGAAGTATATTGTGCAAGATTTGAACGCAAGCGTCGACATAAAAGTCTCACGCGACATATAAAGGTCGTGTGAGTCAGAAGGACACCAGTGACTCACCGTGGCAACAATCCTGCGAATGGCAGCTGAGGCCATCTCCTCTCCTTTGGGCTGGCCCACCAGAGTCATACCCAGGTACTTCACATTGAACACCATCCCCTCCAGCAGAGTCTCCTTGGTGTCTGTCCAGTTCTCTGGCAGCTCTGTTTGGACAAAAAACACAAAAAGACAAAAGGAAATCACCAAAATGCCCCGATCTGTCTAAACAAGGTTATATAATAATAATTTTGGAGTGAAATGTGCTTTACTAAAAATAATATCCACAAAAATACACAGAACAAGTATCAGCTCAGATAGTTGTGGATGGATGCTTGCTAATGATAGATGAAGATGTTACATAATCCACTTTGTCAAATGACTTCGTGCATGGGATTAAATTCAAAGTTATTTTGAAAGGGGATTTACGTGTTAGGAAAGATCACTTTGAAACAAAATACAATAAAAAAATTTGTCAGAACATGTTTTAGTGTCTACATTGCAGTGCTTGTTGAGCAGACTGTTTGCAACAATCAGCACAGACAGCATTAAGGTTAGCAGACAGTGGTGTGTGGATATACAGACTTTTGCAAAAATTATTGTGTGACAATCATTTCAAAAATGTTTTTTTTTTGCAATGCTGAGAATGTCAGAGCTCTGCAATATGTTTTCTTCTAAACTTGTAGAAGTAGAAAATGTGTGCACTGGAAGATAAGAATACAATAATAGTCCAACTCTACTGAGAGTATAAACACATGGCTTATGGTTTACTTTGTCTATGAATCCATCCATAAGTGATCCTGGCATTCCACACTATGCTTACCATCCTATTCAACTGACATCTGTTATCACTCTCGTCTCAGAGAAGAAATTCTGCAGAGCCCCAACAAACCCGGTATCAGCTGCGCTCTGGTAAACAGAATGGCTGCAATGTCTTGTTGATGTTGCTGTGACTTCCAACAGGTAGCACAGAGCTGTCCTCTAGGCGGCGGGGGGGGACCGTGCCCATGCAGAGAGCCTGAAATATCTCCCAAAGACACCTGGACACCCCCCAGTGGAGCATCAGGAGACAGATTGCTTACAAAACAATGAAACCGACCACATTCTGTGATAAACTTAATGGGGCGATAAGTGAAACACGATCCACATTTCACAGCAATGTCGCCGCGATAAAGACAACCACAAAACGCATGCATAACCATCTGATAGATAGTCATATAGAACCTTTGTTTCCCCTGTCCAGAGGTATTTCTGCTCAAACACACACACTGAAACAATTGGGAAATTTAAAAAGAGAGAGAAAGAAAGATAAAGAGACACAAACACAATGGCTGTCTAACACTCTACTGGGCTTTACTGGCACCAAATTCTTCAAATGGGCTCAGCCATCTGTCACTGGCAGGCCCCATGCAGCTGTGAAGGCGAACAGCAGAGAACACCATCCCCTAACAACGCTTCCAATAGCTCTGAATTATTAACTAATCTTCAATCCTACTATGGGGGCTGCTTCAAAACCAGAGAGCGCATTTCATGTTATTAAATGCTATTGCTTTGATGGTGGGCAGCACGGTTGGTTGGTTTCGACCTGTTCGTGATGAGAGGTGTGTTGACGATTAGAAATCTCATATTTTGTCGAATAGATGTTGTGACTCTTAACACTTTTAGAAATTCATGGTTCTGAGCCTGACGTTTCACACCATTTATGAATGTTTTTTTAATGTGCTATGGATCCATGACGGGGGAATTCATCCTCTCTTTCCCCTCTACACAGGAGCTCAGAGGTCAGGGTCAGTTACTGAACACAGCGGGTTTCAGTTACAGCCCTGTGATTTCCGCAATGCGGAAAACACAAGACAGAATCGTGGAAAGTGATGATTAAGATAGAGTCCACTGGGAAACACGGAATATGGTGGAATTTGCTGATAGTTTTTGGTGCTTCCTAACAAAAGCCCCCAGGTCAGAAGCAAATTGGCATTTGACTCGGCGCTCGCTGTTCCAAGGACGAGAGTCTCGCAGATGCATCACCTAGCAGGCTAAATATCTGACCTCTCGGAGAGCTGCAGCCAATGAGAGCGCAAGACACGTGTCAGGGTCGTTGGTTACTCATCCACAAATCAGAGGAATTCGACACCAACAGCGGAAGAGCACATTATTTTACAAAAGGACGGAATATTTTGCGAAATTGATATTCAATTTTGATTGTTATCTTATGAATTGTTGAAATTTCAATCTTCCACCAGATGATGAGACACTTTTCTGTCTACAAAATGTGGTTGAATCGTAAAACACAGAATTCTGAACAAATTCAAAGAGGCCCCTTGTTTCGCTTTAGTCAAAGTAAAATAAGGGACAAGACTTTATGGAAAGGCATTTTACTGTTGATTATTTAAAAAGGATTATTTAATGCTTAGTTTAAACATCACAAAATAAACATACTTCCATTCACTTCTACTGTATTGTGGTGGCAGCAAACAAAATCTAAACTATCTGCACTTTCAAGATTTGAGTGTAAAAGCTGTGGAAGGTTTCAGTTTTTGACAGATTTATATAAAAGCTAATAATGCAAGAACACAATGGGGTGAAAAATATATACAGTATAT